ACGTCACGAGTGCCGTCCGCTGCCCAGCTGGGATATAACCACCGTTTGCCATCAATGTTGGAGTCCACCACAGGTCGCCACTGCTCTTCATCTTCATCTACGGTGACGGCGGACCTTCAGGCTCCACAATCCTGGTCCCTATTCTACGCTGACAACATCTTCCTTGCTGACAGAGAGCGACAAGGCCTCCAAGAGCAAACACAGTGCTGGAAAGACCGCCTGGACACAAACGGACTGCAACTCAACCATGACAAGACGGAATACATGGGGAGTGGCCCGCAGACCGACGGAACCATCAGGATCGACGGCAGAGACCTAAAGAAGGCCACCCAATTCAAATACCTCTGTTCCTCCCTCTCGGCTGATGACGAAAGCCTACCAGACGCACGATCGAGAGTCAACGCCGTCTGGATAAGGTAACGGCACGTCACTGGTGTACTCTGTGACCGACGCATGCCAAGACACCTCAAGGTGAAGATCTACAAGACAGTCATCGATCCAGTTGCCCTCTATGGCGCCAAATGTTGGCCAGCAACCACCAGGCTTGAACAGGCCCTTCATCTAATGGAAATGCGCATGCTGGTGGACGCTAAGACTTGTCCCAGTGGAATCAAGTGATTAACGAAGATGTCAGGAAAACCATGGGTGTTGCATCAATCATATAAAAGATATGGGAAGCACATCTTAGATGGTATGGCCATGCAGTCCACGGTAAAGAAGAAATGGTAGCAAGGAGAGCAATGCGCCTGAACCCGGAGGGAAAGCGACCACGCGGCCGGCCAAAGAAGCGGTGGATGGACAAAGGAAGATATGAAACACGCCAATGTCACCCCCGAAGATCGACCTGGACCGGAAGAAATGGAGAGCTAGTTGCCGAAAAATGGACCCTGCATTGATGTGGGACAGACACTAGGAGAGAGAGACTTCTGAACTGCCGGTCCAGCAACCAACTGCCCCACAATTTCAGTTCCATCCGGGTTCATATCCACCCAAAATATAGGCTTTTGTAGGCTCTATCAAATAAATTGACAAAGATGAAAACTAAGGACATTCATACTTACTCTTTCATTATAATTTATTAGGGCCCGAGCATGAAACATGCGAGGACCCTATTGAAACTAAAGGAATTATTTTTCTACAAAGTAATCACATTTTTGGCAACCTAAACATGTTCAAAAACTCAACAAGCTTTGCACAAAATTCAAGGGTGGCGAAAATCTATGTTTCATACGGTTTTCGCGCATGGGCTAGTAAAATGGCTCGCAAGTGCTCCCTAAAGAGCAGCCCCTGGGCCACATTTCTCCAATATCTATGAAATTTTTGTGGCAGATGTATCATGCTTACACCCATTAAAAACCCAAAACCCAACAGTAAGCCAGCCATTTTGAATTTAACAGCCATGTTTGGAGGCTCACAGGTTCCGTACTTTAACAAACTCCTCCTAGAGAATTAATCCATCTGACTTCAAATTTTCGCTGTGCAGTCCAAAGGCATTGATGATGATAAGTTGTGCTATCTGTGAGTTTTCATTGATGGGATGGTCTGTGGCATGGGGCCGAAAACTGATGATTCGCCATGAATCCGGAAGTTGTTATAACTGCAGTGTACATGCTCAAATCTGCACCAAAATGTACATATACACATATGTCTACATTCACTCAAAGTCATAGCACCACCTTCTGGCAACAGTAAATGACAAGTTTTATGCCGGTATCTAGTGTTCCTAGCGGGTTTGCCGCACCAACCTCAAAACACTTTCACAAGCCCCTTAACATATTGATGATGCTCTTTTGTGAATCTTGTGAGTTTTCACATAGCACTGTGTACGTGGCGTGGCGGCGAAGTTCGATGCTTTGCCATGAAACAGGAAGTTGTTGCAACTTCACTTTACATGCTCAGATCTGTACCAAACTCGTTACTCGTTTGATAAGAGTCCTGCCTTGCCCACCTTCTGGCAACAGGAAGTAAGCCTTTCGTGACAAAAATTTGATTTGATTAACATAACATTTTCACAGCATGGTCCACACTTCATGTTCCGGTATAAAACATATAATTGGCAGGTTTTGTCTAGCACCACCTAGTGGACACAGGAAGTGATGTTAAACTTTTTCGTGACTGGTCCAAAATGTCGCACGTCATGACGTGAGGGCCCGCCCTACGCTACTTGCAGCTTTAATTTTTGTTAGTTTTGCAACCCTACAATACATTTTGATTTATCGTTTACTGTAAAGCCACATTTTTATTTTTATTTCAGTTAACATGTTTTTTCATAATTTTGTTCATTTTCGTAAACAATAATAACCTTGGTAGCACAGATATATAACATCTGGCAAACATCTGGAAGTTACATTGTCAAAACTCTTCACACAGTCAGCAAAACAGAAGTGTATGTGGCCCAAACTGTAAACTATTTTTAATTTCCATCCATCCATCATCAACCACTTATCCTGCGTACAGGGTCGCGGGGGGCTGGAGCCAATCCCAGCTGACATCGGGCAAAAGGCGGGGTACACCCTGGACAGGTCGCCAGTCCATCGCAGGGCCACAGATAGACAAACAACCACTCACGCTCACACCTAAGGACAATTTAGGGTCACCAATTAACCTAGTCCGCATGTCTTTGGACGGTGGGAAGAAGCCGGAGCAAACTCCACATAGAAAGGCCGGGGCAACCGGGGTTTGAACCCGCAACCTTCTTGCTGTGAGGCGACAGTGCTAACCACTGCCCGCATTTAATGACCATGTTCTCCAAAATCCATAAACTCTTTTCTCATTACTACTCCACCTGTGAAACACTATATATTTGTGGCACATTTTTCAAGTGCGAACACGCTGTGGCCAAACTGTTAAAAACACATTCAAAACAGAATGATGGCAAAATTCCTGCCTTTCTGCTGTAACCAGACTAAAATATATAGTATAATATAAATTTTGTGTTTATATGTGCAGTGAGAACTGCATGTAGTTTTTGAAAAGTGATGGGTTAGAACTGCAGTCTGAGTGTAAAGCAGGAAATGTAGTTGTATTTTAGCAGAATTGTTTCATAGAACTGGTACGTGAATTACAGGTTGTGGTCATTTGTCTCGAGTACCAGTGTTACTGTGTAAACAATTGAGAAAAACTGTATTGCAGCACTGATATTTTTAAAATAAATTAAATTACTATGTGCATTGATATAGAAAAAATACTGTAAAAGATGTGTTTCTGTGTGTATGTGTGTTAAGCAGGTGTTATTTTAGAGCTGATATCTATGAAAATTAGTCCACCAGAATTCTACATTCAAAATGCCTTATTTAATGAAATCAAGTCATCTTTTAACTTGTCAGACATGAATATTTCACTTTTGTCCCATTACCACCCTGCCTGAAAAGTCTGGAAAAGTTGAGAACCTAATATCAGAAGGACCAGAATTCAAAGCAATGTCTCTGTACGCTTGCAACTAGGGCACTGTTTTTACTTCTTCAGAGCTTTCAGAAGTTCCTTCTTAACCATGTGCAGCAGGAGCTCTCTGCAACATCAATTATGGGAATATTTTGCACTACACGAGCACTGTACAAAAACAAAAGAAGTCACAGTAGTCACAGTAACCTAGGAGATTTTTCAGTCCGTCCTGCCACACACAGAAACAAGGGATAGTTCAAAGCCTTTGTTGATACAGTTCAAGAATATTTCAACAGTAAACCAGAGCCACAAAAAGTAATGTTTGTGTTGTAAGGCTGACACGCATACAGAGATCTGTGAAAACACCTCCTGTGAAAACAAACTGTTCTGTATCCTAATTTTCTCCAAGCATAGTTTCTTCCCTCAAACTTAGTAGTAGCTGCTGACTCCAGCATAAAAATGGCTTTGAAATCTGTTTTAAGAAAAGTGATATAAAGCATCTGCAAAAGCAAAACTGGGACATGTCTGCAAACTCCAGACTGAAAAGGGGAAGAAAGGGGGAATGCTATTTTGGACAAACAGATTCATTTTTGTTTTGAAATAACTGTTGAATAATTGTAAGGAACTTGATTCTCATAAACCTTTCTTTTTTTTGCTCTTGGTCCAGACTGAAATACCTCACCTGTTAGATGGATATTTATGTACCATGTAATTGTGTACGGACACTCATGATCCTCAGAGGATAAGTCCTAATAATATTGATAATCTCCTGACTCTTCGTTGCCATCAGCAGGTCAAAGTGTTGACTTATCTGGCAAAATAACTTCTCTTTAAATCTAAATTAATTCTTGTACAGACGTTCATACAGGCAGTGTTTTCTACTGACTTTGGTGATCCCATGACTGTAGCGCCACCGTGAGGTTAACACGTGTGTTTTTGAGTGAAATCTCAGCAATCAGATGGATTTCCAAGTTTGGTACAGATATCCTTGGTGTCCAGAGAATGAATTCTTATCACTTCGGTCATTCCTAGTATGTGACAATAATGATCTTTACTGAACCTTCCTGACATACCAAGTATTTTAGTTGCCAGCCCAATGTGTAGTTGCCATGTGCAGATACCCTAAGATTAATCAGCTGAAACTGCTCAAACATTCAAAAACCTTTTCACTGAATGGGGTTGTGCACCATGTGTTGGGGGAATACGTCTCTACTCTGCTCTACTCAGAGCCGATGTGACACCAAAATGTGTGACCTATCAGATTCTGTGACCCAAATGGCAAGTTAAGCGCCAGAGGCTTTGTTGAAGATGTGAAGCGGTTTCAGTTTGGTTGGGTTTAGGTACCAAAAGTACTTGGTTGGGTTTAGGCACCAAAAGTGCTTGGTTATGGTTAGGAAAACATCGTTGTTTGAGTGTAGTCACACAATCTGATAGGTCACAGATTTTAGTGTTACACCGGCCCAGCCACTAATCGACCATTGCGGTGGCTTAGGGCCCCGTGGCCAGCAGAGGGCCCCCTACAGTCACTGCTTGCTAGTGGTGGAAGAAAAATCACTGAAAAAAGAAACGTAAAATAATAAAAATAGAATGAAAGACAGCTCTTTATATTATACACCATAATAAGCATAGGGGTTATTTAATTTAGTTATATAGGCTACTTTGGAAAATCAGCTGTGACCTGTGACTCCTAAGCCTGACTGACCCTGTGACATCACCGACATCGCTCGTTATGCTGGGTCCGTCAGGCTTGATGTCTGACAAGAGAAGCTCATATTTGTCTGGACATGTAAAAAGACAACAGAAGAGAAGAGGCAAGAAGATAAAGATACTTAAGGCCACAGGCTCCGTTTTTCTATGCCTGTGTTTTTAGATAATCTGCACTAAAGGTCTTACATTAGTCTTAGTTAGCCGCGCTGGTATTAACAATGCTAACGCTGTAGCTTGCTAACATGCTAAGCGCGATTAGCATAACAATTTTTACATACTGCATAAACATAGTATAGTATTAATATTATACCTTAGTTTAGGATTAACTCGTATTATTAAAGTCAGTTGATTAGGTTAGTAGTGTTATTAGGACATGGGTCTTTTTCAGTTTAAGCCATTAGCCTATCTTTTTTTTATCTATCTTTGGAGCTGAGCTGCTCAAATCTACAGTTATAAAGCATTTAACAGGACAAAACCAGATAGGCCAGGTTTTAACAGGTCATATAACCCAAGAAGCTGACTCTGCTGGTAGGTTATGTGTTTTAGTTAAACCTAAAGTGATGACCTGTTCTTTCATTATATATCAAATCTGTCAGGTAGGGAGTGTGTAGTAGCTGTTTTAAAGGACTGATTGTTGAGAAACATCATGGAGCTCCTCCAAAGCTGCCAGTGTTTAAAGGACATCTTATCTAAAGTCACTTTTTAAAAGGAGACAGCATCAAACTCTTGCAGATTGTCCTGCATTATAATATCCTCCACATCTAATAACACAGTTATTAGTTATAAGTCAGTCATTTCAGTTAAGTCAATTTATTTATATTTATTTATTATTTCATAGCAGGTCCATCAGCCTCCACCTCTACAGTGCTGGTAAGTTTAGGCCTACATCAGCAATAACTAAACAATTATTCACCTCTAGGAACACTCAGTGTATGAACGTGTCAACTTACTAAAATTACTTATTTTCTGTGTTAATCTTCCTCATAGGTCTACCTGTGCCTACTGAAGTGGAGGGCAGTACCATCGTGCTTACTACCACACCTGCTTCTCCAGTTTCTACTCCTCCAGTGGATCCAGCTGACTGGCCATCAGTCCTTAATGACCAGTTACACGTTGATGTGGTGAGCAGTAAAACCAGCACAGGTTGACAGAGACATTTGGCTTTTCCAAAAAGACACAAAATATTTTCTATCTCTTAATCTCTTGTCTGGTTGTTAATAAAGATTTAAGCTTTGGTCATAATCACTTTATCAGTCTTTTGATTCAGAACTAAGTTCATCAGTGTCATTTTGCACTGCCATTAAGCTCAGTAGCCATGGTGGTATCGTATGTTTCCTGTTTGACATCAAACATAGTATATATAATAATATAGAGTATAGTCTAGTTATTGTTTTTCATCAGAATCAGCTTTATAGTCAAACAGGTTTAAGAAATTTGCTTTTGTGTTTTTGTGCTAAACAAACGTGACAGGTGTAAGAATATAAGAAAGATGCGTCGGGTCTTATTTAAAAACAAGAGACGTTGTTTCTGTATTATATATAGTGACGCCCGACAGTCAAAAGGGCCCCAACTAAATTTTGATTAGGGCCCCTGAAGGTCTAGGGCTGGCTCTGACTCTACTCTATTCTCAGCCTAATGGTGCTTTCAGACCAAACATGAATTTAATCCTTGCAACGCTTTCCTCGCGTGAGTAAATTCGCTGCAAGTGGTCACACACAGCGCGAGAAGGCGATTAACAAAAATTCCCTTGAGTTACCTTTGCGTTGCTTCGACCACCCGACAAGAAATCGCGGCTCTATGCGTCATTGCATTGACTTTGTATGTAAACTCACCTCTCCGAACGCTCGTTTCGCTTTTGGTCTGAAAGCACAGTAAGACAACAAACATGTTCGACAGCCTGGCAGACAGCCAACCAAGCCATATCAAAAGAATGCCCTTAGACAACACAGTCCACTTAAATCACCTGCTTTGGGGTAAAGGAATGCTTTGTTTGGACTTCAGGGTGTGGAAGAGCAGTAAATTAGTATCCAGTGGCTGGAAAACGAAGGATGTTTTTAAAAAAAATGGAATGATATCGTGCCTTAAAATCTGATCTGACAGGCTGCAAGGAAGGTGGGAAGAGGGCAATCACAAAAATCAATAGTCGTGTTTCACTGGGAGGAAGGTGACAAGTGCACAAAAAAGCAAAATCTCCTTATTGAACTGCTTGTAAAAAGGTGATGTACTATATAGAGGTAAATAGAGAAATAGATTACAGTAGATAGGAGAGGAATAGAGCATTTTACTCTATTCCTTCCTCTTTCTCACTTTCACCTCAAACATGTCAACACCCTCACTCTTTGTCATCTCTGTTTAGGTGTCTAAATGGCTCCAGGATATTGTTCAGTAGCATTGCTTCCTAAAAGGCTTGTAGAGTGCTCATCTGCTCGACTCCCTTGATAGAGGGGGTCAGGCAGGGGGCAACACCTGGCTCTCCACCAGCTCCCTAGGGACACAGAGGCTCACACATAAATGTGAGAGGTTCTGTCATGAAATCAAATGCACACACACTGACGCTTAGAGCATACATGTGGGTACACCCTCACAGCTACACACACAATGACACATAAGCTGCATCTTGAGGGATAACAGTAGCCTTAGCAACAGTAATTTCTCCCCTCATTTTTACATTCTCTCTGAACACATGCTTACAAGTTACACCCAAAACAATTTAGGAAACAACTCTTTGAAACATTTTCAAACAAGATACAGATACATAATTTTCTTACATAGTTCACAATTAGACTACACACTTGATTTCTTTATTGTGCTTGTGCAGCATATGTTTAAAAATTTAAGCTGATCTTGATTTTACAATATTTCATTATTGTCAGCTTGCAAATCCTGAGAGCGTTAAATAGTAGAGATGCTTGGGTGCATTGATACAAGATGTTTTTCAGAGTGATGGCCACTTGAGGAGCCATTCAGATTTCTGCCTGCTTAAAAAAAATCCTTGAATCTTTGTTGCACAATAGGAAAAGACTTTGGACTGCTTGCCTGTCAATTAAAGGAGTGACACTGACGGATGATTATAGATGGATGCCCTACTGATTTGCATGTGTTTGAGACTTGGGAGGAATTATACAGCAGAAGGAGATAGATAGAAAGCACACCTGCAGTGGTGGTATTATTTAACAAAAAATAACACAACATTAAAGAAAAAGTACTGATAATTACAGAATGTCTATTAAATCAGATAGTTGAAGGAATTCTGTAAAGTAAAATATTTTAACTTTTTCTTTCTTTCCGCTTGAAAGTGCATTGCATAGGCTTGATTAAAATGTATTTGATGCTGTAAGACATATTGGTTCCTTATACATGTAGCTTCATTAACCACCCCTTAGTGATTTCTTTGTGGTACATTGTGTGGTGGTTCCTCAGTGGTTGTTCCCTTATGTGGGCAGCACATGACAGACCCACTAGAAATTGATGACAGTGAGAAGGAGTAAGGAAGCTCAGTAAATTAGGTCTAAAGGGGATACGATACCAGCAAAGGCTAATGTGAGTGTCAGTAGCCATGTGTCTATTCAAAGTATCTTTGAGCAAGACCCTGCACGGACTGTTCACTTACTACAAATGACTATTGATTGCAGTATCGGACAAAAGACAAAACTTCACATTAAAAGTGAGGTTGGAAATAGCTCTTACATTTGTAAAGAAAAGCAAAACAGCGAGATCTACCACCAAAAATGACTTTGACACTACTGTACACAAATATTATGATGTTTTTACATCTATAGTGTCTGCTAGAAATGTCACTATAAAAGCTTAAAAAGTTTAACTTATACTTGTATAGCTGGGATGATTAAATTGCCCTTGTGGTCACACACAGCCTGCCATGCTGAATTGGTTGAATGCTGATGCTTGCGCACTGATATGAAAGCAACCCACACAAAAGCTCAGGACATTAGCCGAGTTTTGTGCCACCAGAGAAATACATTTGGTGTCGAGTCCTGTTTTTCACGATTACCCAAACATTGGCACTGTCTGAAAGCCGTTCCAGCTGTGGATTGTGCTGACAGTTTGAAAAAATAAACTACATACTTTGTACAATATTAATTTTGACACTGTTTCTGAAGTTGGAAATAATTTGGAAGAAGTGAATTTGTCATGCGCCCGATGTCAGCTGGGATTGGCTCCAGCCCCCCCGCGACCCTGTATGCAGGATAAGCGGTTGACGATGGATGGATAAACATTTGTCATGATGAGTACTACTGACCGTGTGAAGGCTTGAAAAGGGAGTGTGATAAAATAACCATAGTGATGTCTACACTTACCTTATTTCTGGATCTTGACTCATCCTAGGGACTAAAAGTCAGTATATCTGCTGCATCTGTTTTGACCTTTTTTCCCGCAACATTAGGTAAGTGCAATAAATTGCTGGATTAACCTTTCCAGTCATTTTCTAGTATTCAGAAGCTATGATGAACAGAAGAATACAGAATGACAATGTTCAATTGGACAAACTAAATTGGATATCTGCACTTTAAGTGGTGCTAGGAAGCATTTGTCTATGTGCACATACTTTGTTGCTCTAATAACGTCATCTAACTGCCACCTCTGCTATAACTGTTTATAATTACTACAGCTGTAATAGGGCCTTGCCACTTGAGCATAAACAAATGTGGTTTTGGGGTGCTTGCTAAAAAGGCTGATGCTGCTTTTCTTGGGAGGATAGTCTCCCACAGTATCATATGCAGTGTTTGTGTTTATCTGTAAATTTAGGATGACTACAGGGCATAGGACTTGCTTTCTGAAAAGTAGAACCATGCCAACTTTAAACCAAATTATGCCAATTAAAAAAGCAGAAATTGTGTGGCTTATGCAACTGATTCCACTGACTGCATCCAGAGAAGCCTTTGATATGTCTGACTTGACCTACCAAGAAAGTTTCCCATGCAGGAAAGGCCTTGTTTGGTCAGAATGCCTTTTTTCTTTCCTCACTGTGAAAGGTTGAAATTTACACACAAATTCCATAAATTTACTAATACAAAATCAACTGACAGAAATTTTAATTAAAAGCTTCTACCTCTTACATAGCCTTTGACAAGTTGGCATGCTGCAACTGAAGTGCTTAAGCCCTTAGGAAACTATAGTTATGGATGAAATTAATAAACATTTAAGCTATCGTATGACACTCTTACATTTGATTAAAAACTCCGTCCTGCCTGGGCGGCGCTCTCTTGTAGATGTGAAATGATGCCCTCTGTTGCATTTCAGTGTGTGAAGGTATGCCAAACATTTCTAAAATGAATGCTCTTTTGTTATTCCCTATCCTTATGTTATTTTTTTTTCCTTTATGTTAACTGGAAAAGGCTTGAAATCTGATTTGCTTTTGCTTATGCAAGTTTACCCTATGTTAAAATCATAAATACAGCCCTTATTCTTTTCTAAAGTAGCTTTTAAAACAGACAGTAGACATTCAATTTAGCAGCAAGCCATTCCACTCAAAGAAACAGATGAGGGTGGCAGATAAAAGGGAATATGTGCACATAGAAGTATTATGTTGTTTGAAAAGTGATTGAGATTTCAAGGGCAACCACTTTCATTTGAGTCCGGATGATAATAGCATGGTTACTGCAAAAACAAAAGAGCAGCCAAGTGAGATGAAATGATAACCTTTCATTGCCTTTTAAGGATTCGGGCATTAAACATTTCTTTAAATGGGCAACATTAACAAGCAGACTTTAATCATAGTTTAGGGTTAGGGGGTCAGCCAAATAAAACTCTCAGTGGTGGTTCCTTAAAAAGAAATCATACAACTCTCTGGAAACATGTTGTGCTTTTTATACAAGTAAGGGAAAAAATGTACCTTTGCATTTAATGTTACGTAAGCCAAAGATAACTGCAGATAACTGCCATGTCCATGAGATCACTGCAGCAGAGTCAAAGCTTTTCTTTCATAAGGGTCAGCGTTGGTGAACATCCTGCACAGTAGCCCAGAGCTTCAGGATGTACTTACAAAGGACATGTGTGTACTCTGAGACAATCTGTTTATTATGTCTGGAGAGTGATAGCTGAGCTGCGTGAGCCATTTCTGCTGCTGCAAACTGTGGTTTCTTAGGAAGAGCTGCTCCTTGTCCTTGGCATCGCTCACATAGTAGGACTCCTGGGAAATAATAATAAGTGTTTCAGCATTACACAAGATACAGCTTTCAAAAGTCAATAGAATTTATACTCACTGTACTGTATTTATGTCCAAGAATAAATGCCCATTACTCCGATTTGATGTGTATCTGGAGTTTCACATGAAAGTCAACAAAAGTAAGACAAGTACTTTACCCTAGTCTTAATACTGATAATAATATTATAATAAATCTTAATACTAATAACAATAACTAAATCATTTAACCTCATTTTAACGAAAATGCTCACTAACCTGGAGCTCCCCAAAATGTACCCCAAAATCCAGGAAGTATTAATGGAACTTTGCAGCTAAATTATAATTGTGGCATCTGTTTTTGCAGGACTTTAAGGTCATGAAATGGTGCTTTACATAGAATGTAATATATTTATCCATTAAAATATGAAAAAAAAAACAAGCAAACTTTAGACTCTGTGCTGACCGGAGATTAACACACCTGTGTCTTCCAAAGACTTTGTTCATATATAACTAATTTGTACTAAATATTGTGCATTTTATACGGTAGATTCAATGATTCAGCTTATTAAATTAGTTAAATAATTCATCTCTTGTTTGAAGTCATCGTCATATGCATTAAAATACCACCAGTTTATTTCCGTACAATGAAAAGCTTGTGCCCTGGCTGCACTCCAGTCGACATCTACATACTTTTGTAATGCTGCCCAGATTACAGATGTTATCAATATAACAATAAAATGTTTATATTCAACATATATGTTCAATGTCAGTGTCTGTAATTTGTTTCCCCGACATTATTCATCTCTGGCAACTAAAGCATTATTAATATTTTTTATGTTTGTGTTGTGAATTTGTAGCCCATTTCTGGGACTTTTATTGTGGTCTCCTGTGTCATAGCCATGAATGTTATAAGCCCGACCATAATACAAGCAGCATTTATGTTTGCTAAATAATTTATTTGGCAAAGCAAATTTGTCTTTTTATAAAGGGAATTTTAGGTGCAGGTATCAAGAAGTGTGCCATAACAATATTAAGAAATACAAAAGTAAATAATTGCCCTTCACTGTGCATTGCTGAGATTATACTCATTTCTTATCTTTTTGCTTGCTAACACAAATATGAAATGTGTGCAGGGGAGCCAGGGTGGCAACCTCAGCCTCACTGCATCTCTTTTAATTACCCAGTAGCCTCTAAGAGAGCACAAGAGTAATAGGGATTCAAACAGCTAAGATGGCCACACTAACCTCCGGGAACCCTGAGAGCTAAAGATAAAAAGTGACTCCCACAAATGCACCCTGCAGAAAAGAGGTATTATGAATACCTGTGACTTATATTATCCTGATTTTGACAGGGGTGCTGCCTTTAAAAGAAACTGCTTATATATGTGGCATGGTGTAACTTCATGAAAGGGTGCCTGATTATTCTCAGAAGCGTAGGACAGCGTGAGGACGGCACTGCGTTTCCATGGAGATAAAACTCTGGGTTAGAGCACAAGTTTTCTAGGTTTCAGGGAACACACACACATGCATACCTCTATAACAGAGAGCAGTCCAAGTCTTTGTCAAGCCTTTAACAGAAGTGGGATTTAAACGGTTGCTCTATGAGACAATGTGAGGGAGAGATAGGAATGAGAAGGGGTGGGGTGGGAGACGGACGGAAAGAGGGAAGGCTGCAAAGTGAGATGTCCCTGCCAACTGGATGTTCATTTTGGAATAGTGGGCATGTTACATTTCACAGACGTTTTGTAACTACAGAAACAGCCTGGCGCACATTCTCTTGAGTCTCCTCTTACCTTGATGAGAACAGTGCCATCTGCTAAAACTCATGTAACTCTTAACTACAAGGCAGCGCTCCAGTTGTTCATAAATGGGCATCTGCAAAAAATGTTCTTTTTCTGTGAAAAGTTTTGCGCTACAGTGTCTGGACACTGGACGGTGGACTGAAGCAACAACCCAAAAGCTCAAAATGTGCTGCAGCAGAAGAGTAGTTTGTGAAATAACGTCTCATCACCAAGCACAGCAATAACACTGTCTTTATGCTCACTCTGCAATATGCTGTAATGTTTTTGAGAAACAACGCTGCATTTTTCTGCTAAAGGCAATTCACCATCATCGGGCAGCTGTTGTAAAAATAGAAAATGAGCCTCCTCCTTCTAAATTCCTCTGCTGCAGAGGTTGTACTGTGCTTCCCCTCAATGCAACATTTTATGAACGCTCCTGTCTTCACAACAAAGGGTCTATGCTCTCATAAGCTTTAAAAAGTGTATAAATCAGTGTAAGTGATGCAAGTGGAACCTAACATTTTGCTTCCCCTCTCCACATCACATCAGATGTTGTTTAAATGTCTGTTCCAATCAATCCCCTTTCAAGGCCCTTTTATGGCAGAAGAATTAGCTTCAGGACTATTTTTAGAATCAATAATATTTTTTAATTTCTGACCTGTCAGCCATACAGGCTGTGTTCTGCAGTGTAAAGGAGATTATTTAAATCTGCTCTAAATCTACTTTAGCTTTTGTTTGCAACGTGCTTGCAAGCATACACAGAGAAAAGAACCAGCAGAGAGTTACTGATATAGTAGCTTATCTTAATTGACTATTGATTATCATGTCTTGGGTCACGGGTGCCACTGATGCATATTCACTGGTACAGAATGGTTAGAGACATGACTAATATTTCACATTCTTTACTGTCTAATTCAGTTTCCTACCTTCCTGCCAAGATCAATTTATTGCTGCTTTGCAAAGTCTGTGAGCATGTGTGTTCCTTAATCGGTTGGATTGGATTGACCCTAAAAGGGGAGTGTTCTATCATGGCATAATATATGGTAATAATTCTGAAGGAACCAGGTTAAAAATAAAATACAGACATGGGAGACACAGAGTAGCAGCCTGAGAGAAGTCTGAATGTAGGATTCAGGCTGAGTTTTAGGGAACCCTGTTATCCCCATGGGTACAGCCATTTAATCTGACTCTATAGAGTACATCAAAGAAATCAGCAGCACCAGGGACGTGAAGCCTTAAATTATTTTTAATTAGGAAATGCCTCAAAGCAGACAAAACTGCAATGATGCTGGTTCTTTCGTTTTTCTTCTATAATGACTAATTTTGGTAATTTTCGTTTATCAGCTTGCATCATACAAAAAAAGTGACCACATGCAATACTTACACTCAGTAATGCTTATGTGAAATGTGTGCTTTTGAAAATAACAAAGAACAATGATAAGTAGCGCAAATTCACAAATGCATCTTCTGTCCATGCAAATATCTAAAGGTCTGTAGTGGCATTTCAGTGTGACTGCACCTACATTTCAAAAGCAAGTTCTACCAACATAAACTCACACACAAACATACACAGAGACATACACAAGAAATTAGTTTATGTTGGCCTGGAGGATCTATAAACATGTCAGGACATTCAACAGCATTACACACTATTAGGAAGAATTTACAACATCAACAGGCCTATAAGTCAGCCAGAGAGAAAGAGGATGAAAAAAGAGAGAGACTGAAGATGTTGGAAGAAATTAGGGGGCAACCCATGATTTACAACTTTAACACTAAGCATGTGCAGTGTATCCAGCTATTGAATATGTCAATAGATGGGATCCATATTCAGTATAACTCACATAAACTGCCATTCATAACAGTGGACTTGTAGTGAAGGCTGATTAAGTGATATATGCATAGTTTCCCATGTTGAAGAGAAATGTCATGTCACATTATCCATATCATCCCATCCCATAGGTCTCCTGAATGTAGCATCTGTGCAGCTGAGAAGTAATCCGGTTGTTTCAGGTTTTAACACGTTAACAGATTCTTAAATGTTGAAATAATATTAGAAGCCTTTTAATTATTCTACATTTTGTCTTGCTCTCTGTCGTTGTTATATATTGCGTTTACATTTGCATGCAAAATCGTGTCTTACTAAACGCCTTCAGTTGAAATTGACCAAGATAGATGCTCATTTTAAAACAATTTAACTGTTTTCCAAAACAAATAAAAAAGCTAGAATCGTTTATTAGAATAATCCGCACTATAACTGTCTTGCTGTTTCCTATCGTGCATGTCAACTCACTCGTGAGACACGTAAAGCTGAATTGGAAAATGGAATTATGTGATTGTGTGGAGTGTCATTTTCATTTGTTTGAAAAGAGGCTGAATGCCTGGCTCAGTTGCTTGTTTTGATGATTTTTCTCCCTCTTGCAGTGCCACAGTGTTCAATGCGTCTCCAAGTGCGCACGACCAGTCTGCAGCAGCGTTCCGAAGACCGCATGCCAGGCATCTGGCTGCTCTGCGTTTATTTCTGGAGGCGCTGCTTTTTGCTTAATCACCCCCAACAGGTGGATAAGTCTAGTAGGCAAGAACATCGGCGAAAATACACCCTGGGGATAACTGGACGCGTTGCTGAACCAGGTGTAATCCACCGAGGAAACTTCGCTGTCGCTTATTTTCGTTTCCAGCATTTGTTGCGCGGTGAGCTGAATGCGGCGTGCACCGGTCTGCGTATTTTTCCCCAAATGAGACCGAATGGAAGTCGTGATCAAAACTGACCGAATCTGGATGTACAGTGGAAATATTGTCAAGTCTCCAAAAATGAGAAGGGAGAATGTAGACTAGACTATAAACCAAGAGAAAGACAGACTGGCATCACAGTTAGCTGTACATTAACAAGCAGGGTCTTCGTGGAGATCCACACTGCAGTTTTCACATTTGAGGGATGCTAAATTCAAGAAGTTGAGGCGAATGTTTTTTTTAAGCTTTATGCATCTGTTTTACTAGCTCATGGGCTCTTGGAATATTTTCCAAAGGAAGAACATTGGTCTCCACAAGCGAAGTTCCGATGCCCAACAGCACACAGGTTAGTTGTTTGCTTTTTTACTTGAAATTAAAACATTGTTTTGGGAGGGGGGTCGATGGATCGAGAATAAAAAATGTAATTGGGTCTCTTAAGGATCCCTTAGCTTGACACCAGTAGGTACAAAGAAGAGCTTTCTCTTATTTCAGCAACAGTTTTTATTTTTTGTATGCTATTTCCTGGAACCGTTTCGCATACACAAACCCAGAAATAAAAATGTCAAAATCACACCTGTGAGTGGATGCAGGCACCATTCACTACAGAGAGCACATGCAGTGTGCCAATTTACACAGACCTGTTGTGTTAATTAGTGAATGCTGACAATGTTGTGATTTTTTATTTTTTACTGTCACTGTAAACACAGGGCAGGCCACTCTAAATGGACTGCATGGTCTGCTGGAAAGTGTGTGCTTTCAAATCAATACAACTTTCAGAATAAAAGAAATCTTGCTCAGAATATTCCCTGCCAATGCACTTGAGTGGGGATGCACTCTTTGTGTGGCAGAACAACATATTTCATATTTCTAAATCATGTATTCTTGATTCCAATAAACTGTGATTAGTAAATGAAAGAGTCCTCTGGGCAGAAGGCTCTGTGTGTGTGTGTGTGTGTGTATGTGTGTGTGTGTGTGTACAGGGATATCAGCAGACCATCCACAAATCCTTTTGTATTGGAGTTTCTGCTTGTGGGTATAGCTTTTCTTCATAGTTGCTGTATTTTGCTGCCAATTCTTTCCCAAGTTCACGATCAACAGTCAACCTAGTGCCTGTGTGTGTTTTTTTAATTGGAATTGGCCTAATAGCTGTAGAATGAAAGCATTATAAGCACAGAGCAGAGCAAAATGTATACCTGGCTGACGTGACATCACCCATAAAGTGCAATATGTGATGTCACCCTATATCTAAGACATCACTTCCTTCTAAGCCTTTATACCCTTTTGTGGACTAGTAACTCCCAAAACTACAACTAAGACGCACATAAAAGAAGACTATTCGGCTGACAACTAAGTGTGGAAAACATATTTTATAGTTTATCTACTTTTACTGAGTCTTTCTTACTGTAGTGCATGCACTTTCTATGCATTGTGCATGATTTTTACTCTACAAGATTGAAGTTATTCAGAGATTGTGACTGCAGGGTCCCCGAGGTGTTTTGATTCAAAGTGAAATTGTTAGAGAAAGGGCCACAGCAATATCAAACGAATGTCCAGGATCTCAATGAGGTGTGAAAAACTGCTATCAAAAGGGCTCTTTGGTATGAAAAGGTTCTCAGTGGAGGGAAATTAGAGGGCACTGGGGGCATTTTTACAGCAGTAAAGTGGCACCTTGGCTGTACGAGGAGATGACTGGTGACATGATGTGGGGGGGAAATGTTGCTTAGGAAAATCAGCCATCTCAAATTCCTTCTCCTGCAGCACATCATTTTACAATAGGGTTGTTATAGTGCAGAACCTGATTATTGCTTGCCACCTGCCTCAGAATATTACTGCTCAAACCTGAAGATGAAATAGTATCAAAGTAACTGGATATGTATCATGTCACCTCAATTAAAGGAATAGTTTTACACTTGGTTTTTGTACAGATTAAACAAACAAGATGTGTTAAATAGTGAGCTTTAGAGGTTCTGGTAGGCGGGTTTTCTTACCTTTTGACAGAGCCAGGCTAGCTGTTTTCCCATGTTTACAGTCTTTGTGCTATGCTTACCCCTGTTGGTAGAGCCAGCAGGGGTAAGCTTGTGACATTGTTAACTCACTTTTTATTCATTGAATAGAGGCACATAGCAGTAATGAGTTGCCCTGAGAGAGGGGATCACCAGCTTTTTTATATTAAGTAACATGTAACCATCTTCACAAAGTTTTTTTTCTCACCTGTTTTATTTTTCACCCCCTCCATCTCATTATTTTCTTGTCCTGTCAGTTCAACAGCCCATCCCTTGTGTTTATATTCACTTGTTTGTGCATCTGTTCCGTTAATTTACTATTAACACTGGTTTTAGAATGAGGTCATTATTATGGTTGTATAGATGAGCAGATCAAAATAAATGGTTACCTAATTTTTACGATGAACTTATAAAAGAAACTATGCTTACTAGGGCTACTTTTCATGTAATTGCGCACACTATTTCCTCATCTTCTATTTAAGTTCAGTATTTTATTATTACAGTGTAGGCTATTTGTAGATTTCACCGCCTCCAGATTCTAGAGAACCCAGAGATCTTGTCGCCTTGTTAGGAGAAAATCACTGTACAGTGTCAGTGTGTCAGTGTGAATGCTTGTTTCTGTGAAACACTGCCAAAAGTGCTGGAAGCATAATTTTTGCTGTCACCAGGCAACCACTAAGTCAGCTGCTGTCGATCAATTAGCAAGCATCACTAATGACTATAACTAAAGCTATTAGTAACTCAAGAATCAAACATCTTACCATCCACTTCTGCTGCGACACTAGATAATGATGTCTTTACCCCTACCGAGTTCTCCTCCATGCAGTGAGAGCATAACATAAAAGCAATGCACTAAATGTGACATCAATGTTTCAATTACAGTTCGCGGGACCTATCTGCAGTAAACATATGTTTTAATAAACTTATATTCAAATTATAAAGTATGAAAATTTGTGAAATTCCTTTATCCTCCAGACATTTTTTGCAGGCATTCTCTGAAACTGTTTAGGTTAAGGTTCAGGCTCAGGTTACTTTATTTGTACCAATAGGTAGATTTGTTGTTTGTTAAAAGTACTCAAGGTTTCAATCATCACTAAATAAATAAATAAAATAAATAATTAAACATTGCTTATGCATCATCTGTGCAACTTGTTCTTCTGAGTGATGGCTGCTGGAGCAAAGCTATTTTTATATCGCTTTGTGTTGCACTTTGGGACTATAAACTTTCGTCTAGAAGGAAGAAGCTGGAATTCACTGCACAAAGGGTGGGAGTCATCATTTAAAATCGAGCCAGTTATCCACGGTAACTGTCTGGTCTACAGTGATGCTGGGTTAAGCTCACCAATCACCCTACTAGACCATTTAACAATTTGATTCAGAGTGTTTCTGTTCTTTAAGGATAGATTTCCAAATCTTGACACCAAAGAAAAAGACAAAATTGATTCAATAAAAGCACGGTAAATGAAGGTCATTGTGGTTTTGTCAATGTGGAAATAGTGGACATGTGGACAGTTTCCTCAAACAGAACAACAGCTGGTTCCCCGTTTTGCACGCGGCTTCACAATTTGCTTCAAAGTTCAGTTTTGAGTCGAAAATTGTCCCAACATATTAGGAAGATTAGTAAGATTGGGCACATTCCTCTGTCTGACCCTTAATGGATGCAACTTGTGTGTGTCATCTAAAATCAATGATCATGTCTTTTGTCTTAGATATGTTTCATTGAAAATAGGGCCGGGGATTAACTGCCTGTTTCATCTCCCACTTTCTGTATAATCCTCTCACCTTTGTCCCTGTCTCCTCTTCCTCTCTTACTCCTCTTTTCTTACTTGTGAAAATCAATACCAACAACATGAAGTGTCTACTTCATATAACACCTTTGTCCCTTCTAGTATGAACTTCCCCAGGCTGGCAGCAGCTGTAGCAGTGTTTGCAGAGTGCTTGTAAGCTGAAGCCCAGGGAGATGTCACAACTGTACTACCGGCGGACTGACAGCTCCTCGTACCGGGACCGCATCCCGCTGAGAATTGTGAGGTCGGAGTCGGAGCTATCGCCTTTGGAGAAAGCCTACCTCGGAGCTGTGGAGAAGGGGGACTATGCTAGTGTCAAACAGGCTCTGGAGGTATGGGTGTATAGATAAATACATGGAAGATTGCATAATTTGAATTTGATCGGTAAATGGATGAATTAATACAGCCACTGAAAGTCTAAATTATGGATGATGTTAGAGCCTCAATCTAATTAGATTGATTTAGAAAAGATTAGAAGATTTATGGGTAACGTCAGCTATGATTATAATCATTTCCAATAACATCTGGGGCCTTTATTTACCTTGACAAGTGTCACCCTTTAGTACACACAAAATATTGCTGGAGACCAGCTGTTTAGTAATCCCATACCATCTAGGATGCACAAACTGATGATGATGATGATGATGATGATGATGATGATGATGATGATGATGAAGAAGAAGAAGAGAGGGCTTGTCACATGCAGTTAAAAACACAATGGAGTAAGGCAAGAAAAAGCCCCAATATGCTGCTCAGATTTTCATGACTGCCCTTGTAGTCCTCTAGCCTAAAATGTTGCTGCTATAGCCAACTAATGCCGAATATGACCACCAAAGCTACTACTTCAAATAGTACTCCAACAATTAAGTATTGTACTCCTATAACATTGATGGACAGTTGTATCAAATATTAAAATATATGCAGCAGAACCAGAGATCAGAACAGATTTTTTTTTTATTTCACACATTCTTCTTCTTTGTCAAAACTTGGTGCCTACATTACCCACAATGCAACTCGGCCACTGACAGTTCAATCAGAGATTCAGCTGTGTTATGTTAGTAGCAGCTAATGTAGCCTTGAGCTGTTAGCCTCAAGTAAAGATGAGAAGTGGGCTGCCAAGGTCCGGTAACCTCACTCCACTTGAGGCAATATATCAGATTCCACACAGCTCCCTCTGGAGACACAAAAGGCTATATACAACGTTTTCACACATGCAGTAGCTTCCCCTTAGACCTGTCAAAAGACTTTGATGTGTAAAAATTGCAAAGAGTTCCACTTTAACTATTGCAAAAATTGGTAGGTTACCACAATGTGGTCATCAGTACTGCAAAGCCTCAGAGCAAAACAGAACAAAAATTGATGTATTTTGTGACTGTGAGTAGTTTCCCTTCTAATCAATGATGAAACCAACACCTGACTTGCAATCACAACCATATCTTGTCAGGAAGCAGAGATCTACTTCAAGATCAACATCAACTGCATCGACCCTCTCGGACGCACGGCTCTGCTGATTGCCATTGAAAACGAGAACCTGGAAATCATTGAACTCTTGCTGAGCTTCAGCGTCTACGTCGGCGATGCCCTGCTGCACGCAATCCGCAAGGAAGTGGTGGGAGCTGTGGAGCTGCTGCTCAATCACAAGAAGCCTAGTGGTGGCATGCAGGTGAGGCGGGGGTGGAAGGATTTCAAATTAGGAGTGCTTTATTCATGAGGTAGGAGTGTGTCAGTGCACAGACAGTGGGCTGATGACAAGGCTAGGGGCATACTAGGGGAGAAAAGAGGATTGTTGATGTTTACTTTGTGTCTCTACTTTCAGTTTTTCCTGCGACCAAATTACATAATAGTCAAAAAAACTATTATTTGAACACTGTGACATGTGCAAGTTTTGTTTTTAAAGGTGTAATAACCTTTTTTACCAACTGAATATGATATTGTACAAATACACAATTGTGCACCCACATGTATTGTTTCATCATTACATTTATGAGCAGTAATTTACTGAATATAACTCAATGGATTACAAAACTCCCAGCCTGCTGTGTTTCAAAGCCTAGAAAACGGATCACTTTGACACAGTGGCCCACGTGTCAAATCACAGGAGGAATTTTGGATCTTAATGACTGGTAGAATGCAGTTTCAGCCAGTGAAATACTGGTTGTCATTGTGTAGCTTATAAGCTGTATGTAGTTGCCTGGAGCTTTCATACCATCCAAAATAATTGACCAAGTATTGTTGGAAATAGCAACAGCCGACACTTCAAAAAGCTGTCTTCATAAGCCTTTTTCTGTCTTTCGGAAAAGAAACAGGTCCAACAGAAAGAGATTTAATGAGCATGTTCACTTAGAGAAAAAAATTATTTATAGTTTGTCCAAAGTTAGAGTGAATTCATAATTCTTTTTTAATCCCGTAAGGATTCAGATTAGTTTGGGAATGCAACATTGCTGATCATAAACAAATCCGTCTTTGAGTAGTAGCCTGTTAAGAGCTTTAATTACTGTAATCAAAAACAAATAGAGTCTAATTCATTTCAGATTTGTGGCCCTTTGCACTGATTGATCACCACTCAAGGAGCCTTTTTTTTTACTTGTTCCTGCCACATATGTACTGTGCACACTGGAGCTCACATTCGTACATGCTTCACATGCTATCTTCCTCTTCCTAGCAGCAGTAACGCACCATAAACCACTAGGAACAGATGTTTTTAGCTTCATTGATCAACTGAAGGGGAGGCATTATTGCTGTTCCTGTTCCTAAAGTGAAATTGTGAAAAAGATAGAAAAGGAAGAATATATTACGGGACAAAAGAGACCAGAAACACGCTAGATAGCTCAGGCTTGTCTGTTAAATGGTTGTGGGGGGGGCTGAGATACAGAGACCAACAATTTCTATTAATCATTTGCCGCATTTCCTCTTTACCTTAATGCCTTCGTAAGATAGTGCTTCTTCACATCACATGAGTAGGTTGTGAAAATAGATCACTCTAGCTCTTCCAAATTTACCCAAGAGAAACTCATTGATTATATTAAAAGGCTGTCTGGGAAACAGCATCCTATCTGTATCCAGTGTCTTCTCTGAGATTTATTATTAAGGACATTCATTTTTTGCTTTGCTGGGATTGTGTGTATTTGTCTTTCTATTTTACAGGCTGTCTGAATGATGTGTATGTAATAATCTCACAAATGGTACGGCTTATTTGTTTTCCGCTGAGGAGCGTATTGGATATCAGCGTTTTAAACAGCTTTATGTATTATCCTCTGAGTACAGATATGCATCTGTCGGAGGCACAATCACTGGCGCTCACAGTGTTTCTCAATTAAAAGGGCCTAGGGGCGCTTCTGTGTTATGTTGTTTTTTTGTTTTCATAGTCCACATTTTGCTCATTGTTTTGTGGGTGTCTGTGTTGTACCTGTACAGTATATCATATGCGCGATAGTTATGTGAGGGAATCCCTCCTTCTCCTACATATAACACAGAGCATGAAAGTAAAGCAAGCATAATCATGCTTGCTTGAAGCCACAAAGACTTCAGCATATTACCCACAGTGTCATTCAAAAACAAAACTGCTCACTGTCCCATTTTATACCAGCTTTAGCTAAACAACATTTGGGATGTTTGAAGATGACGGGTGAAAACCAGTGGGGAGGCTCGAAAAGGAGCACAGTGAAAACAAAAGCCAAAACACACTTTGCTTTTGCAGATGCTAATGTTACATTTGTAATCAATATGAGTAACAAATAAGCATTACACGGACAAGTGGGCTATAATTTCATTTCTTTTCTCCACTATTATCATAACTTCACATCTACCAGCCTGCACTCCTCCTGCTCTGTGCTTGGACACAGGCCAAGGCTGTTTGATGAAGATTATTTGATGTCCCTCCTCCTCCCACATGGAGAACAGAGTATATAGCTTATTAGATCACCCTCCTTTGTGAAGTATGATGACTGTCAGACATGGCTTTGTGCCACTCTTTGGAGCAGCTGCTGCACTATGACTGCTCTGAGAGTAAACTACACAAGTTATTAGTGTCCACATGATAACATGACTTTTTGTGCAATATGAATGATGAAACATTTTTGAGAAAATGAACCAATCGCCTGGATAACAATTCTTCATATTTTGTTCCTCAGTAGTGGTGAGATTTCCAGTAGGGCAGCTAGGTAGAAGGTGGCAGGTGGAGCGGATCATGTTAAGAAGTTTGGATGTATGAAATTTTGCAAGTCCGGTAAATGTATTTTTTATCCTCTCTAACATTGCCTGGGAACATGTCTGATTCGAGTGGCATAGTTCCAGATTGAAGAAGCAAACAATCAACTGAGACATGATGGATCCAGCAAACATTGAATGCTTTTAACTGAAATGCACGAGGAATACAGGAACATTTCCTTGGCAATAAAGGATGTCATCTACAGGTAAAGAAAATACAGACTTAAATAACTACGGAAAGCCGATGACTGAGATTGAGCAGAAAGTTGGCCACGAAGAGGACTTGGTGAAAGGTGACCAAGGAAATATGTTAAAGAAGATGGAAATAAAATTGCCAACATGGAGAATAGGAGCTGCCACTCCAATCTTCACTTCACAACTTCCCAGAAGGTTGTGGGACCCAGAAGATGGAGAGTTTTATAGAGAAAACTTGATGCTGTAAAACTCCCCAATCGGCTTACGGTAGAACGTGCACAGAATCAAACCACAAGCAGAGGGGCGTAGTAATCCAAGAAGTATTATCGCCAGATTACTCACCTACAGAGAGAAAGATAATATTTTGCATCTGACCATTCAAACAAACAAAACCAGGCCCTTGGTCCTTGGGGGCTGCGGGATCTTCATCAGTGTGGACATGTCTGCGGAGTTGTACCAAAAGCACAATACGCCACAGTGAAAAACTGATTTGGGAAAACCCATCCCATTCACATTTCACTTTCCGGCAGAGTTGCTCTTGAAATGGAAAGATGAGGACATTATGTTGAGCTCTGTATAAGAAACAGACAAATTTGTGGAGAGCATCGAATTAAAATAAGACACAGTGGCGCTAAACCTTTTTTCTTCTGCGTGGGCCTTGAGAATAGTCTAACAGAGAAAACACAAAGGCAATCAGAAAAATCAACTAAATGAATGAATGATAGAGATCTTTCTACCAAGAGGAAATGGGAAGTTGATCTTGAGGAAAACATTGATGTGGAGGAGTGGTCACAGTTTTGTTCAAATGTACATTATACCTCTTACAATTGGAAGCACAAGTTAGTACCTTTAATGTTGGTGATTGCTATCAAGGGAAATTCAGTAATTTTGAATTTATTGCTGCAAATTAAGTATTGCTCTCAGCTAGAAAGCCACTTCCTCTCCAACACTGTTTCAGTGAAAGGTGGAGATATCAAACTACAGTATATCCCACTATTACAAAATGAAAGCTGGACATGAGAAAATATGGACACTTTATGTAACCTTTAACGATAACCTTTAAATAAAAGTTGATGAGGTCATCAGCCAATGCTGAGATGCTGTATACAGTGATTTATTTGTGTTTGGGGGTAAACTTACCTGTGGAGTGACCCCATACTATGTAAACATATTAATATTAATTTACTTTTGTAATAATTTTGATCCATAGCAGTATTTTCTTGTCTGTTTGGTGGGTGGTGATGGCGAAATGAATGACACATGCCTTTGGTGTGAGAGACCCGGGTTCAATCCCACACTGTGATCCATCCACCATTGTGTCCCTGAGCAAGACACTTAACCCCTCATTGCTCCAGAGGCATGCGACCTCTGACATATATAGCAATTGTAAGTCGCTTTGGATAAAAGCGTCAGCTAAATGAATAAATGTAAATGTTTGAGTGTATCCCACATAAACTATACATTCTCACTCTACACGGGAGGGTCTGGGAGAGGTACAGTCTTTTGCAAATCCAGGCAATAGACAATTTCTGAAACAGCTTACAGTACGGTACATCTCAGCTCTTGTCTTAAATGTGACTTGTGCATTCACATGTATTGTCTATATATTGAGAGTTGTAAAATTTAAACATTACTAAAACACCGACCAACAAGCAAAGTGATCAGTGTTATATATATATATATATATATATATATATATATGATAGCCCTGGCTATGACCATCCATTAGCTGTATTTCACCGGACTTACATACTCAAAACCAATTTCTATGAGTTACACCACAGGAACAGAAGCAGTAACTGTGTTTAAGATCTGAGCTCACAAAACTCTTGACTATAGTTAGTAGCTACTAAACCTGTATTTGTCATTCTCTTCTGTGTCATTGTGCTGCTAAAGATTTTGTAATCACAAGATATCGTAATTATCGCTCTCTCATGCCTTCTCCTTCACTATCAGAATCTTTGCGACAGATAATGTACTGGAAATGAGGCATAGACAGATTAGTATGTGTCCAGTGATTATTACAAAAACCTTTCAGTGATATCTCATTTATTACTATAATTCACTTAAGAAATACCTCTTCTTTTTATTTTAAGAATTACATTTACCATATACTCTTATTTTAATGGTCATATGGGTAAATATCAAATTATAAGACATATTAGGGCTATGTATCTTTTCAACAATTTTATACAACTTCCTGGAATCTATGGAAACATTTGTTTTGTGGGTGTAGTAACCACCAAATTTTATATGAATTATTGACTAGGACCTCACTATTTCTAAAATGGCCCTGGCTCTTAATCTAGTTACTGAGAGACTCACAGTTGAATATTTCCCATGAGTCCCTTGTCACCTCACTTGTCAACCTGTCACTGTGTTTTACTGTCACTTGTCTCTTCTCATGGAGAAAGCTGCCTCTGGAAAGCCTCCTGCTGCTAATGGCTTTTCAGATCAGGTTATCAGATGAGAACACCTGGTTGCCTCTGAGAGATCAATATAAGCATATTGTCAGTTTAGTATACCAAGCTTCCTGTCCGTTCCTTGAAATACAATAATGCATTCATTTATGAAAATACGACAATTGCGTTGAATCCACAGTCTTACTATTGCACATAGAAAACACATATAATAAATGATTATGCCATAGAAGCACATACAAAAAAACAGAGCCAAAACTGCAGTGACTGCACTCCGGCTAGCTATAGCTGGTGAGATAACCCCAGCTAACTGTAGCTAAAGCTAATTCCCTCCCTTTTTTCTACGTATCTGTTTCCTGCCTTTAAAAACAATGCGGATTTTGAACACCTTGGTGATAGAGTTAAATATACCACAGAAATAAGACAATAACTGAATATAATAATAAAAAGCACCAGCTCAACAGGACCTTCCAAATCTAATAAGCCTAGCCTAAGCCAAGTGGATTGTCACTCCTGTCGGCATATTTATATATAAAAACTGATCTACGATTCCCATTCTGCCCACTTCCATTGGCTTTTTTTCCTGTCCCAGTCCCGTATGAATAGTATTGTATAGTATACATAGTAAATGTAAAATTGACTCCCATCCCACGGGAATCTCATGACCCACAGGTGTTTGTCGGAAAAATGGCAGCCTATATTAGATTAAGGTTTTACAATAAGAGGGCCTGCTCTTTCAAGATATTAGTCACTCATGTCTTAAACATTAGTCTTGGTGACGCTGTCTCACTAGAACTAGAGCCTCTTATTCCGACCGTGTCGCCAACCATTCTCTGACTGTCTCTCGTCTCTTTCTCCCTCACCACAGAATCAGATAATAAGCCTTCAATTAAAAGAAGCGAAAAGGGCCAGCTTACTCGTCTGCAACCTGCAGCCCTGTATGACATGGGAATAGCAAAAGGGCTTAGCTGGAGTGGGTGATAAGAGGAATAGGTGAAATGGGTTTCTTTCTGAGCATAATAATTCCCTCTGAAATGTGTGAAATGCAGATGCTTTTTACTACACTGTGGCCTGTACACCTACCCTTTACAGTTGTCTTGATATGGATGGCATTTTGTCTGCGACTTTGACCAAGGGAATAATTTCTTGCTGGCATTTCCACAGTTTCCACTGCAGCTGCCAAAATACTGATTTCTTGATCCTGCATATTCCATTTCATTGTAAAGACCTTTGACCTGCACTCTGAGGTGAAGAGAAGATCTTTCAGGCTCTGTGTTTAAGCAAACCAAATAGGCTACTTCCACTGTGCACTGAGCATGACAAACCTGGCAGGAGGAAAAAAAGACTCTGATGTCCATAAATTGGCAATAGATATAGAATAGAGGACAAAGGCTAAATGTGCTTCTTCGAGAGCTTTATTCAATTTATGTGTGATTAAAGCTTATATTTTCTCCTCTCCCCTGAAAGGTTCCTCCTATCTTATTGGACAAGCAGTTCTCTGACTTCACCCCTGACATCACTCCCATCATCCTCGCCGCACACACCAATAACTATGAAATTATTAAGCTTCTGGTGCAGAAAGGCGTGTCTATGCCGCAGCCACATGAGGTGGGTAAACCATTCATGGTGTAAATGGTATCTGTATTTTGGTGTTATTATCTGCATAAAACCACTTCTCCAAAATGTCAACAGCCGCCCAGGGAACAAGAAAAAGGCTTGTGTGCAGCCGGATAAAAGTGCAGTTTTGATACTATCCAGTGGGGTTATGAAATGTTGAGTCAATTAATAGAATACATTCAGATGATACAGAGTATGACTAAAAACAGTATTTGACATAGGGTCTTATTTATAAGATATAATCAAATAATAAACATGTTTATAAGAGCAATGTTTGTAATCACGTGTTTAGATTATGAACAATTTACAAAATTTCTAATATATTGTGTAAATTTTCATATAATTTATAAAATCAAAAATTCACTGATTTGGCCTTCATCTAAACACCTAAATAACATACCCAGCCATTAGTTCACATGGTTGCTACAGTGCTTGTATTGCTAGACCGAAACATAATCTATTACAAAACACAGGAAAGCCTTATTAAGACGTGTCCATGCTTTGTTTGATGTTGCAGGTGCGCTGTAACTGTGTGGAGTGTGTGTCTAGTTCAGACGTGGACAGCCTGCGGCACTCGCGCTCACGCCTCAATATCTACAAAGCACTGTCAAGTCCCTCACTAATTGCACTCTCCAGTGAGGACCCCTTCCTTACTGCGTTCAGGCTCAGCTGGGAGCTGCAGGAGCTCAGCAAGGTGAAGACAAGAGAGCCAGCTAATAACGGGGCTAGAAAATAATTTGGTTGTATTTGATTTTAAAGAACTGAAATATAAGCTTACTGTTGCATTAATTAGCCTCACTGTGCCCTTTCATGTGACATTCAATGGCCTGTCAAGATATTAAACAAGCATTAGTATAAATTGGTCTTGGTAAATGTCATTTGATAAAAAAGGAGGAAAAATGCCACAAGAAATAATTACAAAATCTGAATCCTTTCCTGTTATTGATAAATATCTGTAAACAAGTTTGAAACAGCTTCATGACGCAAAATAACCAGAGGCAATGATTGATTTAGAAACATCACTTTCTAAACGCACCTGTTCTTTGAGACTTTCCTTAATATCTTGCCCTACATTTAAGGTGGAGAACGAGTTCAAATCAGAGTATGAGGAGCTGTCTCAGCAGTGTAAACAGTTTGCCAAAGACCTCCTGGACCAGACAAGAAGCTCCAGAGAGCTAGAGATGATCCTCAACTACAGAGATGACATCAACTTACTGGAGGAGGAGGGCAACAGCGACCTGGCAAGACTCAAGCTAGCTATCAAGTACCACCAAAAAGAGGTAAGCATGAGATGTAATATTAATGTTAATACTGATTATTTATAAGCCTTGCTTTCATTTTTACCCTAAGAACAAAGTATTCAGCTTATAACTGAAGACTAATCCATAGTTTTCTGAGTGGATCAGATGGCAAAAGCTGTGAAAAGAAAGGCAGTGTGAGTGAGTGAGTGCTATAGTTTGAAAACTGCTGTTAATTTGATACTCCCCCTGCCATTATATAACAATTAAAACACAAGAATACAGCAGTAAGAAATCCCTTCTTGTTTTTTTCATGCCTTTCCTTTGTTTTCCTCTATCTACTGTACAGCTTCTTATTAGATTTCAATGCCAGGCAACATTCAGTATGTTGTAAGCCTGGGGAGAGTGCCAAGCTTGGAGTTTTTGCTGCACCAAGCCAATGTCTTCTCACAGGTGTCACTGCCAGCAAATATGAACTGGCGTAACGATGTTAGATTAGCATCAGGTTCTTTGTTGATGGTGCCAGATGCTGTTTCGGGTAGGATTGTATCCGTTTTCACTTTCACATGGATGACAAAGCTTGAATTCCATCACCAAAGCATTGCAGCTGCAAGGTGATACAGATTCCATATTAAGATTATAACTGTAGCGCTACTTGCTTCCTTGAAATAACATACAGATAGCTTCAAAAAATCAGTTCAGTCATTAATATCACTGAAATGACAGTTGCATGTTTCTGCATGCAGTTGCACCCAGTTACACATACATACATGATCTATAATGGTTTGTAATGTTTATTGCAGAACATGTACATGTACATACTTTTACAGTCCAGTTTCAATTTCCTGAAACTAATAAGTAAATCGTGCTGTGCTATTCAGCTGCTTTGTAAGACATGAATTGCATTTTAGACACATTTAAGCAATTATAAAGGAAATGGTTCAAACCTGATAACACCACAGTGTTTTTTCCTGCTACAGTCCATTGATTTCATGCTTTTGTTTCTATTATGTTATCCATTTTTTCTCAGTGGGTAGAGTCAGGAACAATTTGCACTGGTCGGTTCATGAAAAGTGACACTGACAAGCTACTTTAGGAACACGGCTGCATGAAGGGCACCCGAGCTTTTCCCTGCTCTATCTCTGCTGACAGAGATTAACAGGCAGGCAAGAACAGAAACAGGTGAGCGTCGCGTATTGCCCAGAGAACCTGATAAGGAGAGGGTACCGGTACCGGCAGCTTGGGAGAAGTGCCGGTATGCCAAAAAAGTCCCAGTACGCCAAAGTGTAAAACGTACCGGTGCGTACCGGCCCACTTTAAGCACTGCATTTACCAGATATTTATCTGTCAAAAGCTTAGTGCTGTGGATGAATAGAAAAGGGTTTTCAGAAAATCATATGACTAATGCATAAGCTATGTTTGTCTGGGTTTAAAGGAGAATGTGGGAGGCCCGGTTTTCATAGCGTGCTAAGTTATGGGATGGCTGAAGGCCTCTTCAGGCAACAAGAAAGCGATTAAATAACTATTTGACTGCAGAATTGTTCAACTGAATATGAAGGTGAAGAAAAATGATGAGGAAGGAGACATAGCACTCCCAAGAGGGACCTATAATTCATTCAGCTGTCTTTAGCTCTGCCTGGCTGTCAGAGCAGATGCACATTGCGATTTATGAGGCTGCTGTTTCCTCCATCATCCATCCAGTTGTTGCGCATCGAGACACAGGTTGGCAGATAAGCATGTTGGGTCACAAAAGGACAACTGGGAGTAGTGCGAATTGCCGGGTGGACATGATGATGGACAGTCACCTGTCATCTTACCCAACCTCTGTGTTGTTGGCAGTAAATATGTCATTACACACACAGTAAACAAACATCCCCTCCTGCTGCCTCTGCCACAACTGTTCCTCCACACACCTCTCTCCAGGAGTGTTTTAATTATCCAGGAGATGTCCCAATATGCCCTTCTCCTGTATCCTATCAATAACACCCTTCAATTGCACAAGGACTTTGATGGAGGACAGTGTCTCATGATGTGGGTAAAAATCCAGCCAGCTGCCCTTTTCAAATGATAAATGTCCCAGCTACCTGTAACGGTTAGCAGTCATTTCAAGGTAAAGTTATTCTGCTGGAAATATTCATTCTATGTGTGTGTGTGTGTGTGTGTGTGTGTGTTGCAATAAATTATTATATTGTTGTGTATTTAATGTAAACAATATCCTACTTATAAGATAAGTTATCTCTGTAATTGAGCCTGTTAAAGCTGGGGTAGGCTATTTATTTCAGAAGCATTTTTATTATATTTGTTGAAATTCTTTTTTACATCCTGACAGCAATCAATAGATTAAATGCTCTGACACAAAAATGGAAAAGTTTCTGTAATAAGCCTGCGTGCACTCTGCCTGTGCATTCACTGCGCATGAAAATGTGTTTTGGGGGAGTGGCTTTGGAGGGAGGACTGAAAGGAGGGGGTGGGATTTTTTTCAGTCGGATACTTTCACAATCTAGTTGTCTCTTGTCGGTTTCTCCAACATTGCTTGGCTTTAAATCTTATTTTCCTAAAACAACAAATTTGCCAATTACAAAAGTGTTTTAACCCTTTAACTGTATCACTGTCTTTTCATGCATTTTATAAAATCAAGTTACCTTTTTCTTCATTCTATTGAAGCAAACTTCCTTATTCTTTCTTGTTTGGTTTCTTTTGGAAACAATAATCATACTACACTGGGAGTTTTTTACCATTTGTTTTGGTCTCAATTTTAGATAGAGATTAATTGAATTACTGATATATATTTTTTTGCAGAATATGTAGTACAGCAGTTATGTAGCCACTGGTTTTACCTTTGTAGCATGTGCAGAGAATATAGTAGTCTTGCAAAATGAGTGAAACCAGATTTGATATGAATTCAACCTCACAAGCAAATAACAGCAGTTACTGTGCCAGCATTGTGCCATAAGGTGTAGCATTTTGTGGGATTTTTCAGACATTCTTTAGTAAACTGATAATTGAGTCGGAGGAAGTAAACATAAAATGTGTGAAGTATTGCACAGCATTCAACATTATAACCATGACATTTTCACCCAAATGAGAATTTGCAGTGCAAAACAGTTAAACTCACTGTAGAACTGTCAATATAACAAAGACTTCTGCTGCAGTTTCTTGAGAGGGGAAATGACAGACATGACACACACACATACAGAAGTATTTATAGTGGCTGTTTTGTGCCTGTGACAGATGATCTTTAAGCCAGACAGCGTTTTGCCCCCTGAGAGGCATGAAGGGTTAAGTAGACAGTTGGACTGGAAAGGCTAGTTTGCAGCTAGCAGTTGTTATTTCAGGGCATTTTGTCTGTAGTGTGATCTCCACTCAACTCTTTTAGCCATTTTGCAGACAAATACTCAAGCTCTTATAATTGGCTTGACATTCAGCCTGCATGTGTGATTTTTTGTAGAACTCGCTGTTTGTGAAAGTTGCAGTGAGTCACAAGCCACAACTGAACAAACTGAAGGACAGTTCTCCTCTCAACCCTCTTATGTGTGTGTGTGCATGCCCGATTACTTTTTTTTATTTATCCTTACATCTGTGTGTGTTTTCTGGCTTTGCTGCTGCTGTGCTCTCAGGGATTAGAAAGGCAATTTATAATGGTTTGAAGAGAAATCTCCACAGGCCTCCAGTCTAAAGAGCTGAGTCTGCGCTTTGATGCAGCGGGAGGCCAAATCAGATAAGTATGATCAGTAACACTGCCGATTATCCTCACTATCTCCCTGAGGGTTTCAACAGTGGATTACTCTGATTTGTACTGATACAACTAAAAAATATAGGTGAGAACATTGAAAATTCACAGTGTGAGTGAAAATGAATGTCTTACATTTGATGGGCGCAGTGGGAAAGCTATAAATTTTACATGCTGTAGTTTGCCGTTGCCCCCTTGTGATATCTCATAAAAAGTGCACATCAGGATCTCAAGTTGTTTTTAATGTCTCCATTAAGATGAAATTGCGCTAAAAGGAATGAATATTATGCAGTGAAGGACCATTAGCACTGAGTTGTTTCAGCAATTCACTGCAACAGATATCTCTCTTTACAATTCACTCTCCGGTGTTGAGCAATGTTCAAATGGTTTTCTTCAACAAGAAAAAGATAGACCTGCGTGTTCTCAGTGCAGTTAGAAAAATACTCACACAAGATTATTTATTTTCTAACAGGTGAAATAATACTCAAACTATAGCTAGATTTTTTTTTACTTGTAAACTGAATGACCAGTTAGATCTTTTGCAGTCATAAGAAGGATGTTACTGGATCTGATTGTTACAAAAGTACTTAGTTTATATTATACATGTACACACATTCAGGGAGTCAGTGGACATTTTCAGGACCATCTTCCATGTTTGTGCTGTTTTGTAGGTGTCATGTCCATCAACACGCTGTTTTAATAAGCGTGAGACCAGTTTAGCTGCATTAAAGGTGACAGACAGTAAGTAAAACTTTATTTTATTTATAAAGCACCTTTTTTAACGCAGGTTAAAAAATGCTGTACATACAGTATATCACAAACGTGAGTACACCCCTCCCTCCTGAGAGATTTTTACATACACACACACACACAAAAACAACACACATACAACCACAGATAGCAAACCATTCGGAGTTATGGAAAAGCTAACTTCAAGAGTGGGTTTTGAAATGTTTTTTGAAATTGGCAACAGATTCAGCTGATCTAATAGGAGAGGGGAGATCGTTCTGGATGGAGTATGGATGCTTTTGTTTTAGATTTGGCATGCGGTATAGCCAACAGGTTTTGGTCGGAAGACCTAAGATGTGTAAGGGTTTAGTAGCTCAGAAATGTAGTCAGGAGCTAAGCCATGTAGTGCCTGAAAAGTGATAAAAGATAAAAGAAAATTTAAAAATCAATCCTGAGCCAATGCATTGAGGCTAAAATAGGAGTGATGTATGATCTACGACTAGTCCTAGTTAAAAAAAACCTAGCTGCTGCATTCTGTAGAAGCTGTAGACTTGCCAGGGCAGGGCAAGTGAAAAGGGCATTGCATAAGTTGGAACAGGAGAAAATGAAGACATGAATGATGCTTTCAAAGTCAGATAGTAACTGTATGATTTTTCAAAGACAAAAAAAAAGTTAAAAAAACACAATTGAACCAGTTGGTTGACATAGTTTTCAGATTTCAAATGAAAGTCAAATATAATGCCAAGATTTCTGCCCATGCACCTATGGGAGTTCATTTAACTGTAGTATGGAGGGCATGGCAGCAGTCCTCAGTCTTTAGCTAGGGCTCAGTCTAAATGAGAAAATCTAAATGATGAGATGTGATGAAGTTATTCAGGATAAAGGTTTCGTTTTGAAATAGACCTTGCACTGAAGCGTGAAGAATTTTTTTTATTTACCTGCGGTGAAAAGTGGACGAGTGTCAATGCAAGCAGGAATGATCAGATTTTGTCAATGATCTTGGCATATTTGACTCATACATTTTTAAAAAGTGTTCACTATATGGCAAGAGCTTTATTGTTCTTTTGAAAATATATTTGAAATCCTCAGTCTACTGTGGACATATCCATGTTTGTTTAAACTCTTACTAAAGCAAAAAACATAACCAGCGGTAAAGTGTGTGCTTGTCAGTTTGTGTCTGTGAAAGTGGAGGAGTTTCAGCAGACCTTTTATGTAAGTAAAGCTGCAGGGGAACCTGCTTTCACATGGCCGGGAAGCACCCTTACTTGTCCCCTCACACACTGATAAGCACTTTCCTGGCACTTTTGGTTAGTTGACCAAGGAATAGAGACTGCAAAGGTTGTATAAGGACACTTTCCCAGCTAGACTTGTCTGCTGGACTCCTGTTTGAGTTGTGTGAACAAGCCACCTAAGGAAAATATGACACTTTACTACAGCTGACTTTTGGAAGTGATTGAGAGTCGAGACAGATGAAGGGAAGGGAAAATTACAGAGGTGTTTGATGTATTTGTACTGTTTCCTCCAGGAAAAAGAAATAGGAAGAGAGGTTTTGTATAAAAAAACAGCTGTGCATAATGAAGGGAAGTTAAGATCAGGGGATTCTGGTTGGGGATTCAAAATACTACATCAAAATAAATAAAGGAAATGAACACTGAAAACTGATTAAAATATGTTGTGTCTTTCTGTAAAATAAAATAATGTGAACAAAATAACTAAATAAAAACTTATTCTTAAGACCACAGATCCCCCTTAGAAATTAGATTATCTAATTAGGTTTTGTAGAGTTGTGTATTATTACAGCTCATGCTAAGACAAATATTAGTATGGATACAGTTCCTAATTATAACATCAATTTGCTTAATTTCTGATCTCATTAGCGCCACCGTCGGTGTTTAATATATCATGTTGATTAAAGCAAGACATCAGGCAGCTCAAGGACCTCTCTGCTGTCATTTATTAGGAATAATGTTATAACAAACAGTGAAAGATACAAACTAAAAATGAACTCCTTTGTTTGTGAATGGATAACTCACTGCCCCCAAAAGTCCAAATACCCATGACAAAACAGTTAAAATGATCAAAGCTATCTTTAAATAGACTGGAAAATTCCATCTATTTTTGCTTAATTTTAAAACAATGGCTCGATTTTATTTTATTATTTTTAAACAAAGTACTTCATTACAAGGCTTAGCCTGCACCCATGGGTCTGCTTCAGACTTTGTTTGCAACTTAATGAGGTTAGCCATTTTGTCCATAATTCATGCTCAAAATGAGTCATATGAAAAGAGAAGCAGGGGGGCATTTTCCTTTTTCCTTGCCTCTTTATTCTTCCATCGTCAGAATCTGTTTATGTCGGTGAAGCTATTAACCCCTATTATTTTAATGCTGTGTCACAAATTCTCTCTCTCTCTTTCTCTGTTTGTTTATCTGTTTCTTTCACTCTTACTCTCATTTGGAAAAAGAAAATAATTCACCTCCTCTTCAACTCATCCATGAAATTCATCCCCTACTATATACCCTGTCTCCATTTCCTCTCAAGTTTTGTGCAGATACTGTAGTCAAGGTATGGAAATAAAAGCCATTCTACTTCAGATCCCGATGCACATAGGGATCTCTGGTTCCCATGGTAACGAGGCTGCAGAGTTGGTGAATTGGCACTTAACGTGCCGGTCAACACTTTGACTTTGATATACAGCCTTAATGTTATTTCACAACATTGTGTGTGCCTGCATGTATGTTTGTGTATGCATGCATTCCCTCTTATTTATACAATAAGGTATGAGTTTTTAGTTTTTGTCTTTAAATAGAATGTCTCCCAGATACCTCTAGATTATCACATATGCTGCTTATGCATCAGTCCACTTGGCTGAGGCAGTCCCACAACACAGCTGCAGTTTTGATGCATTGATATTTCTGATCATTTCAAAACGTTACCAAGAGGAGCCTGGCATTAACTTAAAATTCTTGTTATTCTTTTCACATTTGCAGCTACATAAGGTATTGATCCCACAGCAACACAAAACATCAAACAAGCCGAACAACAAAAAAGAACACAAAATATATATTTCCACATGTTCATTAATGCTCCAAACATTTTCAATCAGTCCTCTTCTGGGTAAGAGACATAAAACGCTGTCTGCTTTAGATAAAGATCATATTCAGGAAGGAGTACTGTATTATTATCTCAAGAAAATCAACAAGAAATGCAATGCAGTCATCTAAAAATATGATCCTCTTGTTTCTTGACATGTAGATTCCTTTTTACTGACTTCTGTGTAAGCTTTTATTTTTGTCTTTTTCTGTGTCAAGGCAGCCATTACTTGATTTCCTCCTAAAATATCTCTGTGTGGATGATTAGTCTTCAATTTTTGACACCACCAACACATCCCACTCCTACATTTCTATGTTCTAAACTGTAACTTGCTGCAAGTGCTAATTCTGGCATGTGGTCACTACGGCATTATGTTCTACGTAAAACCACTAAATAGCCTCAGGCTGGGGATGCTGTCTTCCAGGACGCTTACACGCAGCAATGATACCTTAGAATAGTGTTCTTGTGAGTCATTTTTTACCTCTTTAGATCAAACAGACCAAAGGTATAACTCTCCCTCCCATCTGTTATTTCTTTAAGTTTGTAGCTCAGCCAAACTGCCAGCAGCTTTTGGCGTCCCGGTGGTATGATGAGTTCCCTGGCTGGAGACGTCGTCACTGGGCAGTCAAGTTCTTTACCTGTGTCTTCATCGGGCTCCTCTACCCCATGTTTGCTCTCTGCTACCTCATCGTTCCTAAGAGTCGCTACGGCCTCTTCATCCGCAAGCCGTTTATCAAGTTCATCTGCCACACAGCATCCTACCTGACCTTTTTGTTCCTGCTGCTCCTCGCCTCCCAACACATCGTCACCACAGAGCAGGGCAGGCAGAACAGGCAGGGTCCCGCACCAACCACCATAGAATGGATGATCCTGCCCTGGGTGCTGGGTGAGTAAAAGGGGTTAGGGCTGAGGGTGTTTGTTATCGAGGATGGTTGTTAACGGCTGTCCTGATGTACAGAAATAATGCCATGGCCACTTAACTTAAACTTAAAGTTTGTGTGTAGTCAGTTTACCCAACTCCATTTCTGAGAGATTTAGTTTGTTTATTTCATCGGTTTGGTATGGTAGATGGCTCCAATTACTATGATACCCATTAGCCTCAGCTGGCGTTGTCATCGAGGAGACACCGGTCAGAGGCACAAATTCAGAACAATCAGTCTGTCTCTATCAGAATTTCCCTCTAATGCCATCACAAGGTTTACATATGTGGTTTTGAGTGAAATGTCTCTACAACTATTGGATGGCTTTGAATGAATGAATGAACGAATAAATCTTTATTGTCCACCAAGATGGAACTTTTTCCGTGTGAATTTCCCCTCAGAATGATTAGTCATAAAATTGGTGATCCCCAGACTGTTTGTTTTGCGCTACCATTATCTGCAAAACTGATGACATTCCCATCAGCCTCAGATGTACTTTGCATTTAGTGCTAATCTAATTTCTGCTGAACATCAGCGTGCTAGCATTGTCTCTATGAGCACATTTGCATACTGACTTTAACATTTAACTCAAGGCACCACTGTGCCTAAATACGAGATCACAGAGCTGCAGACTCTTAGTCTTGTTAATAAAATAACCAGATATTTTTTGTAATGATATTTCTGATCTTTTGTACTGTTGATACAGTCAGGGAGTTTCATGCAAATCCAAGCTAAAAGTGCTATGCATAAAATGAGCTGGATTTTTGTGTGCACAACCCTGGGACACCAGAAATTAGTCTATACTATACTAGGAGACACCTTCCAGACATTAAGGAACAAGTATTTTTTGTGTCCATGGTATAAAGATATTTATTGAAAAGATAATCAGACAATCTCTATATTTCTAGGATTCATCTGGGCAGAGATCAAACAGATGTGGGATGGTGGTTTCCAAGACTATATCCATGATTGGTGGAACCTGATGGACTTTGTCATGAACTCTCTATACCTGGCCACCATCTCCCTCAAGATTGTAGCCTACACGAAGGTAACCACTATGAACAGCAGAAGAACATACAGGTGTAGTGTTACTTTCCTATGTTCTGACTTTATCTGTTCGCCATCCTCTCGCCCTGTTCAGTACAGTGGTAGTAAACCCAGGAACCAGTGGGAGATGTGGCACCCAACACTTGTAGCTGAGGCAGTGTTTGCCATAGCAAACATTTTCAGTTCCCTGCGCCTCATCTCGCTGTTCACAGCCAACTCTCACCTGGGGCCACTTCAGATCTCTCTGGGGAGAATGCTGCTCGACATCCTTAAGTTCCTCTTCATCTATTGTCTGGTAAACACACAAATGTTTGCATGCAGGCGGGAACATAAACAAGTATACGAGTAAGGTACAAACACATGGGTACGCTCACACTCTACTCTTTTTCTTCAGGTCCTACTGGCCTTTGCAAATGGCCTGAACCAGCTGTACTTTTACTATGAGACCAAGGTTCCAGATGCCAAATGCAAGGGCATCCGCTGTGTGGAGCAGAATAACGCTTTCTCCACGTGAGTTCGCATAAATCCAAACTCACTTGTTTGTGAAGTTGAGTTACGTTATGAAATTGGGTGACAGAGAAAGAGAGTGTTCTGTGCGTATCGCTGTTACTGGTTGCAAAATGTGTGAAAACTTATTTGTCAGTTGCAAAGAGAAACTCATGTAGCTGAATTTCATTTTCTCCACTTTTATGTGAAATCCTTCAACTGATAAAATGTTCACCCAACAGTGATAATAAATATTATGTCTCGGAGTAACACATATCCTTCCCTTGCAGTTTATTTGAGACCCTGCAGTCTCTCTTCTGGTCAATCTTTGGTCTGATCAGCCTGTATGTGACCAACGTGGATGCAGACCATCAGTTCACTGAGTTTGTCGGTGCCACCATGTTCGGCACCTACAACATCATCTCACTGGTGGTGCTCCTCAACATGCTCATAGCCATGATGAACAACTCCTACCAGCACATTGCTGTGAGCACATATCTGTCATACTGCGTACAAAAAAATTAACAAACACGAGTGTGTGCAATAGATAATGCAATGTAATCGAGTATTTGTGTTGGTAGATCGTATCATGCGCCCTAATCTTGGTTTCAGGATCATGCAGACATTGAGTGGAAGTTTGCCAGGACAAAGCTGTGGATGAGTTACTTTGAAGAAGGGGCCACACTGCCGCCCCCCTTCAACATCGTCCCTAGCCCCAAATCATTCTGGTACCTCATGTGCTGGATCAAGAGGCAAGTGTGCAAGAGGACAAGCTCCAAGCGCCCCGGAACTTTTGGAGCTCTCGGAGTAAGTTGGGTTTCAAACACTTAAAGACACGTTTGTATGAGTTGTGAAATGTGCTATTATTTTGTCTAGCAGACACATGCACTTGCACTTATTAGTGCAGTCAGTCATTTTGATAGAGTTGTAGGGCTAAAACGATAAGTAGTGGAATCGGTCAATTGATTTGTCGATCTGCAGAAAATGAATTGGCAACTGTTTTGATAATCAGTTATTTCTGCCATTATTGAAGCTCACATTCCAAACATTCTCTGCTTATCAAATGTCAGGATTTGCTGCCCTTCTTCATCACATATGATAGTAAAGTGAATATCTTTTTTATTTGACTGGTGAGATAGTGATGGTGAGACATAGACAAAATGATTAATCGACTGAGAAAATAACTGGCAGATTACAGTAATCAATAATAAAAGGAATCATTAGTTGCAGCCTTAAAGAGTAGAATCCCTTTTTTTAGATGGCAGTAATCTGATTTTTATTTTTTACTGTTTTGTGCTGCAACACTCAGGGGGCACATGCAGTGAGACCCACAGACAGCAACATTTAATGCAAATGTGTGACACTGTGAAGAGAAATTAAACATGCCTTTTCTCTCATCTTCCATTCTTTCTCTAACTCAACCTCTCTGGCATCGGATGTCTGTGCAGAGACGAGCAGCAGAGAACCTGAGGGTAAACCATCAGTATCAGGTAAATGTAGTCTCTTTCAAAGCAAGCTGAAATTGATTATCTTCCTCTACTGTGTGTGTGTGTGTGTGATAGAGTGACAGATATTCGTGTCTTCGACCGCCTTTCTACACTTTAAATTTAAATCAGTCAATAGAATGCTTTTGTGATGTCTCACACAATAGGCATAACAATTACACTCAGTGGGATGTTCATCGCCATTCTCTGTTCAATTATTTCCCATTTGTCCATATCTGCAGGTGGTTATTGTAGTATTTTTTTACAGCTGCAGTTTGAAATGTGTTTCCTTTTGTGCGTCTACATTTGTCTGACTGACTGTGAGTTTTGTATTCATGCAACACTTTCATTCAGTATTAGATGGTGTTTAAATGTATTTTTCTGTATGTAGGAGGTACTGAGGAACTTGGTGAAACGTTATGTGGCCGCCATGATCAGAGATGCCAAAACAGAGGAAGGCCTGACTGAAGAGAATTTCAAGGTAAGCAAGGTGTCTACAGAGCAAAGACTTAAAGCGGCTATAATTAATATCTCTATATTAACACTAGATCATATAACTACTACATGTATGTGATGTGTAGCTCATAGTGACAAAACCACAGAGAATTATCACCCAACTCTGTAGTCTGGGTGGTGCTTTGTAGTTCCTTTAAACTCATTGTTTTGGTTTACTGGCCAGATATTTTCCTCAGGAGTTGGTGGAGAACAAAGACTGAGCTAAAACTAGAGTGAATGTAAGACTAACATGAAGTCATCAAGTGGACACAAACAAATTAATTATAATGTTGCGCCATCTCTGCTGGATGAACAAGTAAGCAACTATTTGCTAACAGGTTTGCCTTATCAACTGATAGTGATAGTGTGTAAAGCTTGTTTCCGCTGCCCTCAAGAGGCCAAACAAATCGGTTACTGCAGGTATCATGATGATGAAATTAATGAATTGTGATATTTTGTTTTTAATTAGCCAGAGAATAAATACATTTACCATACACAAAAAGCATTATAGACTCGGCTTGTGAAGGCATATTGTCTTTGATTTGCATCTTCCAAGATATGGAATTGCCTAAAAATTACCCCATATTAAAATCTATGTGTGTGCTTTGTTATAAAAAATAAAGTGCTGTATGATTATTTTATGATATTACACTCGATCCACTTAGTTGATATTGATTCGATACTCAATGGAGTGCTCTGCTGATACCAACTGGGACTCATAATTAAATGAAAAGCATTAGTAATTTACCTGGGGAGCTCACTTTTTGCTTTACTCTCACAGGAGCTCAAACAAGATATCTCCAGTTTTCGTTATGAGGTGATGGGCATGATGAAGACAGGGAAGCCTGCTCTACAGGGGGCAAAGGCCAGTGGCAGCTCAATGGACTCCAATCTTGCTTACCCCAGCTCCTCGCTCGAGGTTTCTCCCTGCCCTGAGACCAGCCAGGTGAAGAGCAAACTCAATCGATTCAAGCTCATCACGTCAATCCTCAAGCAGGGCAGTTCTACAGCTTCACCCAGGCCGCCTGAAGCCTTCAATGGTCTACCTAATGGACTCTTGTCCGTGGCCTCTGATGAGAGCTCCAGCGAAAAGTCAAGCCAGAGGAGAAATTTCCCCAAAGATATTAATGACTTTGGCTTATTCCAGAAACACCACTGTGGCAGAAATGAAGCCATGTCAAGTACAGAGGTTTCCAGAAAGATGTACTCTTTGTCAGAAGAAACAACCGAGTCTGGGGGCTCAGAAGCAGAGGGGCAGGACAAAGAGCATGCAACAGGAGGTACGGATGAGAAAGGACTCCTGGAGACAGAAAATAAGGACAAAGCTGCAGTACATGAGGCTATGAATGAAAGTAGCGAGGTCTCGAATATGAATAACAGTTTGGATGGAAGTGGGCAAAAAGACAGAGAGGACAAGGACAATGAGAGTTTACCCTGCAGTGACACAGTAGCTGGTGGATGTCTGTCAGGGTCATCCAGAGAAGAACTACAGGCCAAGTAATGTTGGCCTGAAGACAGAGAGATTGACAATCAATGTAGGATTCAAGTGAGGATGTTATTGTTTGTTTTACAAAGAGTCTAACCTTTCCAGTTATTACTAAACTGATGATCAGTTTTGATCTGTGTGGACTCAGGGAGGCCTTTGGTTGAAGTGTTTTAAATGCTGTTATATTAGCAGTGAAGATGCAGCAAAGGTGAACTGAGCTCTGTGGGAGCCTTGCAAGGATTTAGATTTGGATTTAGATTAAAGTCATTTCATCTGATCTCATCCCTACAGATGATAGGAAAGTAATTATTTCCTTAAACTGATAATTTTCTCTTTTTTTAACCTCCTCTCTCTCCCTGTCCCTGATCTGACATGTGCCCTTCTTTTCAAGTTATCCCATCATTCACCACACGCACTCCTTCATCAATATCTCTCTACCTCTTTTCCTTTCCTGTTTATCTCTACACTGCTTTACTCTGCCTACCCTTATCTCACTAGAGCAATAGATGTGTTTTGTTATAGACCCAACTCTCTGCCTTACTCTGTCCGTTTCTGCACTGTACACACTGTCACACAGTATCTCAAATACGTGTCAAGCTCTGAAGATGCAACAACAATTCTGTCAATGTTTTTCTATGCAAAAACCTGGGATTGTCATTCTCATCATTCTGAAGAGGATAATAGTACATTTTACGGCAACAGTTCATGACTGTGTAAATTAGAGCGTGGCCAACTGTCAGTCAAAGAACAACGCAAGTTATATGAACACAGCCACAACCATTTAAAGCAACATATTATTCACTCCTACAGAAAATAAACTTGTCATTTTGAACAAATTTGCTGTTTTTAACTAGTACCTTTAGATGTCATGTTAGTTTGAATGAATGATGTTATAGAGATTAAAACCATAAAGAAAACTCTTAATTTGGCTTTTTTTTTTTTTTCGTTCATTGCAAATTGCAGATAGATACAGACATGAACAGAATAGGTAAACACTGCCGTCATGATGACCTGATCATCAGAAAGCTTACACATTTTTATTTGTCTGGCTAATTGACCAGACAGTCTCTTATTATTAACTTGGCTTGTGATCGCATTAAAAAAAACTTTTATCCACAAGGTTCATGTCATATAATGAGTGCATTAACGAAATTAGAACAAGTACTGTACAGGATGACAGAATCATTTCTGGAAGACTTTTCCTTCTTGCTCCAACAACAATCTGTCCATTAACAGCTGAAATGTCCTTCCATTAACAGTCAAACCACACAATGAGAGGAAATTTGTAAATGTATTATTTATTTGGCAGCTTGTTTCTGCACTTCAGCAACTAGTCTCTTTACTGAAAACTCCTATTAGCAGCATGAGTTTGTTAATCGAATGTGTACTACAGTCATTACATTATAATCATACTTCAATCCAGGTAGCCAAACCGTTCTTAATTACTTTCTGTAAGTGGAGAAAGATGTAGAGAAAGACAAAGACACATTTTTCTTCTTTTAAAGACCATACAAAGAAGAACTAAAGCCCAGCAGAAATATTATGTTCCAACAACTTCATCACACTGTCCTGCTGTTAAAAACAGAAGCCAGTCACGCTATGTCCTGATATTTAATTTATTTTTAATTATTGTTTTCTCCAGTGTTGACTGCTTTCTGTCACTTACCTTTTCTCAGTGGCTGGCAAATTCTAACAGTGAGTGACCAAGCAAGTGAAAAAGAAATTAAAAGATGATGAAACTGCACTCTGCGTATGATCAAAAGGTTACTGCTGAAACGCTCCCGGGTTTGTGATGGCTCTTCCAACTGCACTGAAGCAGGCTGTCACAGATGGAGAAACATATGAATAGAAAGCTTTCAAACTAGCATATGTGCTCACACTCACATTTTAAATGCTTAGATCTTATTCAGTATATTAGTATTATGTAATACATTTAGAGTGCATGTGATGGATCAAAATGTATTATTAATTAGATTTAAACAAAAAGGATGAAATCAGATTCAGGATTCAGGAATCACTGTGAGCTCACCTGAACTTTCAAATAGGACCTGTGTAACTCAAAATTTAGAAGAAGGTGAACAAAATAGAATTTCTGCACACTAGAGTCTGTAATATATTCAGTTATACATATTTGATTAAATAAATAGATTGTGTAGACTTCATACTACTCATCATGGCCCTTAAGAGCTTTTACACAAGATGAGCCACTTTAATCAATAACACAAACATGTCTGTTTTTTAATTATACAAGTATGTGAACGCAGACCTTTTGACTGGTAAATATTCACTAGTCCTTGTGAGACCAAAAAATTGGGAAAATAGCAACTTTAGTTTTCCTCTATTTACATGCGGTAATGCCATTTTAAAAACGTGTGTGTTATCCAGGTCAAGCCTCAACAATACTGTACTGACAAGTCCTTGCCACTAGGGGGGGATGGAATTACAGGATGGAGTTCCTGCTCTTTGCTTCCTCTTTGGAAAGATATCTGCATTGTGTTTGGGGGGATCTTAGAGGAGCCTCAAGCAGGGAAGGGAAAGAAAAGAAAAGAAATAGCTGGAAAGTTACTGTAAGTTTCAGGCTGATCTGAATATACTAAGACGTCACAGATAGGAAGACTCAGCCTCCTGCATGTTACTCTGGGATCAGAGGTCATGAGAGTTCATAAAGAGTGAGTAGATCAATGATGTAGCCTACTGTAGCTTAGTAAATGTGAGTTCATCATTCAAAGAACAAAATCTGCTGTCTTTATTCTGCTGATCACATACTATTTATTTTCGAACGATAATAAGTGATTTACTGCATCACATGCATATGCATTTAAGACTCAAAACATTTAACTATACCTGGGTGCACTCTGTGGTCACATTTTGTGGCGTAACCGTCATCAATCATAAGATTTAGCTGTGAGTGAACAACATCAAGGGAGTGCTGACCTGCACGTCTCCAGTTTAGACCTGTTCGTGTTCACAAGTCAAGACTGTACACAGCGCTGTTTCATGATGGATTTTTCCTTTGAAGCTTTATCAGATCTGGCTTCAGCGTGGGGGACAGCGACAGCCAGGGAAACAGTGAGACTGGAGAAGAGTTGAGCTGATGAACAACGAACGTGACAGCAGGGAGGATGAAGGTAGAAGACCAGCTCTTAAGGAAAGGAAAGGATGGTGGGAATGATGAATCTACATCGTGAAAGCAATGAGAAGAAGAGTGTAACCCAGGGAATGGATGATAAAAATACACTTAGGCTTCTGTCAAGCAAAGTGTAAACATATCATCTATACAGATTCATCACCATGGGTCTCTGAGTTTGATTTACAGCCCTATTTTTCAAGCCTATTAAAAACATTTCTGTCAATATAATTCCCATATATTGTTGCCAAATATCCCTAGGACTGATATTAGAGGTGTACTTACTGCCTCTATGTGTGTGAGCTTAGGTGTGAATGTGAAATAGAATGACGTGTAATTAGTCACTATAATTTCTTGTTTCTTTTTGTGCATCTTTCAACCGTGATGGGAACTCCAAGAGTGTTCCCTGCTCAAAATACTCGATCAATCTTAAATGCATGGGTCAAAACCTCTGTGTTACAGAGCACTCTAATATACATTTGAAGGACAATCCACATTTGAAAAACTGTCTGTCATTATAGAGTGTAGAGCAATGTAAGGTTTGAGTTACAGGGTGTCCTCGGGCCTCTGGGATGTGATGGTAGTAATTGAAAAATTTATGAGAAATCATATGAAACACAATGAGGGAGGGGGTAGACAATAAGCTTGTGCTCGAGTGAGAGCTGGGGGGAGGATTTTGACTAAAGAGAAGGGCGTGTGCGGGTGAGAGCACAACGTAACATTATGGAAAAGACAGTGAGGGAGTAAAAAGAGAGTGGGTGGGTACGGGTATGTGTTAGAGAGAGAGAGACTTGTTGGTATAAAAGCTCCCTCTCTCACATGCAGTCCCATATCTCCTGTGTATTTTTGGGGGGGTAGCGAGTGCGCGTGCGTGTGTGTGTGTGTGTGTTGAAAAGAAAAGAAGACTGCTTGTGCCCTTGCAGTGCCGAGGACTGATAACTCCCCAGGATGCATCAGCTGCTACTGGTGGCCTTAGTGCTGGGGCCACTCTGTTGTCTAGGGAGCTTGGATACTTCATCTTATGACAAGATAGTATACCACAGTCGCATACGGGCCAGGACGGAAGGGTAAGGAGATGGGACTTGGGGGGACGTCGTGGGGAATAGAGAGATGAGAGGCATTGTGAGGGGAGAGAGAGGCGATACATGCAAAATTTAAAGAACAGTGTAACAGTTATTGATGTTTTTTTGTTTGTTTTTGTTTCAGCAGATAACTGATGATTAGTCACAAGCTGACAGATATGTACCTATGCATGTCAGATTTTATATTTGTGCTATGTTTTAAGGTGGTGTTAAATCACATGGCTTCACATCACATTAGGTTGAGAAAAAAGGTCAGTCACATCGATAAAATTATTGATTCAAGCCATTATGGAAAATTCAATAGTGTCTCTCACATTCATTCACTCTTCTACTGTAAATAATGTGGCTCCATTTGGGGTTTGAAATTGAAATGTTTAATTTAAGTGTAAGGAATTTCATTGTTTTTTTAAATGACCTATAATGAAGAAAAGGCTGATTAGACTAAATAAGCAAGTGAAAGTATTCATTGTGTGTACTGTACATAATATTCCGAATATTTTCTCTACCTGTATGCATGCCTTCCCTCAACAACCCTCACCTCTCTCTTCTCATCGTTCTTCCTTCTTTACCTTTTCTGTCTTCCCCCTCGACCGTCTTCCACCTTCATACGCTCACACACATCCTGTCTCACCTGCATCTCACTTTATTTGTCACTCCTTCATCACCCTCCCTCCTCTCCGTCCTCTTACAGACCCAATGTCTGCGCTCTACAGCAGGTCCTGGGGACTAAAAAGAAGTACTTCAGCACATGTAGGAACTGGTACAAAGGCTCCATCTGTGGCAAGAAGGCGTAAGTTTTTACCAAAAGATTGCATGGATCAAATAACTGTGTTTTTGTTTTGTTGTTTGTTTTTTTTATTTACCACTCCCAACTTCCACACATCCTGCACATAGACAGCAGTATTTCAGAAATGTCAATACAAGTCAGATAAGAATAAGTACTTACAGTACCTGTGTCTGTGCATGCGTATGGATTTCATCTGTAGACAAACCTCCTCAGCTGCTACCTGGTCCCTTCTTTATTATGTTGCAAACAGCAGAGGTCAGCCCTGTATGACCCCTGCTTTCTGGACCCTCAGGTTCTTTCTGTCTCGAGTTACCTGAACACGCTGCTGTCTCACTTTTGTCAAAAAAACCCCACAGGGTTCATGTTCATTTCATGATGAGGATGACTGAATATTTAATCACATTTAAATACATATTTTTAAGGATTTTGAGAGATTTGAGAGAGGACCACACACTACAGTGTATCATTCTTGTTTTTTATAGCGCTTTAGCTCAAGACATAAAGTCTCTTTTCCCTTTACAACTGGATTTCACACTCTCCCACACATCAAATCTTTATGTATAACTATCTCTCTTTGTCCTCATGCACCCCTCCCCTCCTCTCAAGCCCGAACATGCTATATAGCCTGCGGGCCAGTAGTTCACTCTTTTAATGGGCCTGTTGATGTTGTAAACTCTTCTCAACAGTGATTGATGCCTCACTTCCTCTGTGACACATTTCAGGTGCTCAGGAAAAGAGTTAATTCTATAAGCTTTTAGTGTTTGTGTGCAGTTGTGCGAACGATATTTTGCAGCTTTAGTTTCACCAGATTTGGGTTGTTGGCGTGGGCAGTGGGTACTTCATTTATACTGTATGATTATGCATGCAACAGTGTGTGTGTGTGTCATACTGAGTTTTAAAAAAGTTATTCGTTATTTTGAACCAAATGACCTCCCTTGAGAGCTGTAAAGAACAACAGCTAAGATCGTTTTAATACTGTGGTTTTAAGTGAAGAGTTTTCTGTCCCACGGCGGGAGTGATAGCTGTTTTAGAGTGAGTCAATGTTAACTGTAAGAATTTGTTTCTTCTGGTTGAAAAATGCCAAATTCTAAAATATTAATAATACATAATGTTTGGTAACCAGAAAAAGAGCAGAGTGGTTTGAATTGTTTTAGATTTTTTGGCTTCTGCTTAATATATCAGAGGGCGTGTTGTTGATGGATTGATAGTCAGTGTAATGTTTCTTGTGAAGTGATGTGCAGAATTAGAGTAAAAATATGAAATACAGCTGCTGATGTGTTGATGGAGTGTAAGGTTCGGCTGGAGCTGCTCTGCCTTGTAGGTGACTAAAGCATGGTGGGAGCTTGAAAGAAAAACTGCACACTCTTTGTCACTCTCAATCATACAAATGCATGCACATACAAGAACACACATACACATACACACCCAGTTGTGCATACAGCTGTAACACCTGCTCTGTTAGGATATGCTTGAAAATAAGGGAGAAAGAATGGATAAAACACTGATTGAGTCCAGAAGTGAGTCATTTTCTCCAACACAGTACACTGACACTGAGATAAAATTAAATGGCACCACAAAAAATAAGATAACATAACATGATGGTAAGATCATCTATTGTGTTGTTCGTCTCTTTAAAGTCCCATTACTCCATTACGTCCGTTCTGTAAGGTGCTTAGAACAAGTTTAAAGAAGTTTATTATAAGTTCAAAGGAAACTAACTAAAGTTTGGCATAAAATATGTTAGTTAGCCAAAAGATGTGGATGAAACAACAAAGTAATAGAAAGATGTAATCATGTTAAAGGTAAAATATCCGCCTGCAGAACCAACCAACTAACAAACAAAATGTAAAAAAAACAGAAACATCAATTCATCTACATTTCAGTCTTTCTTACCAAGTGAAAAAAGTGAAATGGAGAAACACGTAGCATTTATAGGGCCATATAAACTATATCAATTATACGTTCATGAAATATATTGCACTATGTATATTCAAAGTATTCAGATTTTCCATCAGCAAGCATATACAAATTTGAAATAGCAATATGAAGAAAATAGAACAGAAACAGACAAAAAGCTCACCAAAGTGGTTCTTCTCTCTCTCCCTCTGTCTGTGGTCACAATGAAGACATTGTTCAGCAGCAGTGGAGGAAATCCACCCAGCTGTGGTTATGTCTGAGTTGGATTTGGTGTTGGTGAGAGATTAGGAAAGGGTGTTAAGGTCTATTGTGTGGCTATTCATGTCCCAGTGTTTACTGCAGGTTGGTGTACGAACAAGCTGGTGTTCAAACAAGCTTTGAGTGTGTAGCAGTTTAATTAATATCTGGACTGAATCTCTTGGAGGCCGCGGGTATAAAGAACAAATTATGTTGACGTGAATCCAACCTGCATTGTGATCTTCTAATTATGTACTTTGGAGTTAAATGATACCACTGGGGTTTTTTAATGCCTTCATTTCCACAAACAACTCTTGAAGTCAGCTGCTGGAGGTTCAGATGGAAGCAATTATCTTCAATGTGATAAGCTTACAAATACAAGATGCAGGAAGCAGAGGTGCTAGTGCCCATGCTTAAAAACAAGCTAATTGGTTGTCAAATCATAAAAATATCAGAGAAGTGGTAAAGCTATGCTATTTAAATTTACACTCCATTACCATGTTAAAAAAAAATTAGAAAACATTAGCACAGTAATCAGGAAGCCATTGGCACCAAAGGGAAAAAAACACTTGTTAAGGACACAGGAGACTGTAGATTACATATCAGGAAGAAACCGTAATGTTTTTATCTGATGCCATACAACCCCACCTAGTGCTGCTGTGTGAGTACAGTATGTGTGTATGTGTGTGCACTCATGCCCTGTGTTTGCACATCTGCTCATCTGGAAGCCACATTGAGCTGGTTCATGCAGTGACACTGCCAGAGGCCTTGTTGCAGCGTGCTGGCTAGTTCTGTCTCTGGTCTCTACTGCATCCATTATCCTGTCAGAGCACGGCCAAGGAGCAGTGACTTCATACCTTCCTGACTGCCAGCTGCGCATGGATGTATATATATTTTACATTATAACAATTAGTGTCAAAGCATAGAATCATTGCTCCACATGCGGCGCGACTATGTGCACAAAAATTACAAATCGCACACATCTCCATAAACACACAAATGCTGATTTACATGGATTAGAGAGGTTTACCAGACATGTGAGTCATTTTAGGGAGTTGAAGGGAGAAAGTGAGGGATGTTGCTTTGTGTGTGTGTGTGTGTGTGTGTGTGTGTGTGTTTGCTTGCAGTGAGCTATGAGGGGAGTGAGTTGCTCTTGCATAATGTATCACTACTGTTGACAGAGAAGAAAACAGTTATTTGTTTTGGATGGGAAAACATGGGAAAACAGAAAGCAGGAAACCTTAAAACTTGGCCCCAGTTGCAGTGAACATGTAATAAGCTCTCAAAGCAAACCTCTTTAGCAAACACACTGAAAGCTCCAACTGGAAGCCATGAAGTGCTTTTGGTTAAACACCAATTAAACTTATTCCAGCGTTCAGAAACTCCATGGCTGTTCCTCTGGTGGATCATTGCTGAGCATCTAGTGTTGACTCACTGCTAGTTTGCTTCCATCTTAGAAGATTTGTGTTTCTGATTTGACTACTGTTTTTGGTTCAGCTCTACTTGAAAACTATAATTTATTCTTCCATTAAACCTCAATTTTACTGAATAAAGACTTGTGATCCACACTGCCACTCTTCTCACTCATCATGCTGTCATTCATAACATTGGAAGAAAGTGCAACTTGATTTCTTGTACGCCATGCAACTGAATGAAAAGCATGGGTCAGCTGCACAGCTCCTTTGGTTTGCTTAGTGTTCACAGGTCCTCTCCGCTTCCTGCCAGGATATTTCTACTTCTTTGAGCTCTGTTTTCACAAATGTTCATAAGCTGGTACTTCCACCCCTCCCTCTAAATATATTAACATGGGCACAAGAAGTCGACTGTATATCAAGGCTTTGTTTTTCTTGGAGACTTCCTTGGGAATTAGATTAATGGCCAAGAAAACCAGACAGGGGGGCAGCAGACACCCCTGTCTGGTTTTTATTTTAGCATATTAACAGTACCTAGATGAACATAAAGTATTTACTGTAAAGCTCTGACTTCCTTAGGAATTTGATAAACGTGGGTTTCCATAAAGTTTTTGAGACTATGCTGTTAGATGTGATTAATGTGACAGCCTATATAGATACTCCTTAGCATTTTTATTCAACAGTAAGTTTGTAGGGAGAGTACAAAATAGTTTAAAGCTTATGAGTTTCCTTACGGGTCTCTGTTTTTCATATGCTTACGTTTACTGCTGTAGCTTGAGATATCGGACATAACATTGCCTGGCTCACTTGAAACAAGTGTCAAGCGTTAGTCTTTCTTTCTCAGTTCAGTCCAGTGTTTCTCTGTGATTGGCCTGCTGGGAGTTGTGTGCTCCCTGCCAGTTTTCTTGTGGAAGTGTTTAATGAACCACTTTCATGTAAATGGTGTTTTTCTTGTCTTTTGTTATTCTCCTTGACTCGCTTACTTTATTGGGATGTTTTCTTACACTGTCACTTCTTCTGCTCTGACTTTCAAATGTGCCCTAGCCCAATTATTGATTTGTATTCAGTGAGTAAAATCCCCTCTTTGTGCAGGCTTGCACTCCGGCCTCGACTGTCTTCACTGTTCTCAGTCCAAGCGCTCGCCATTCTCTCCCATCACAGCTCCAGGGGTTGTTTTTCTTACTCTCAGATGTCAATTCTGCGTTGTTGATCTGGCAAGCTTCTTTTCTTTTCTCAACTTGCATTACATTCACTTTACCTTTATCTTGCTACGTTTTAATTAGGTGTCCAAGCCCGAGTGGGCTGGGAACCCGCGAATGCAAGGCATCCCAGTACCAGCAAAGCAGCTGGGAACCCTATTGTTTTCGCTCGGATTTAAATTTGTAAATTTTTTTTTTTTTCTTCCATACGTTTTCGCCTAATTCCAATACTGCAGCCTAGACGGTAAGTGCTGCAGGCGCAAAACTCACAGGGTAGGTTCAGGCCCATGTGAAGACAGCATGCAAAAAAGTTCGCTCACTTCTACCTTTAGGGGGCGCTACAAGCAAGGTCCAAACTTTCAAATTGCTGTAACTCCTGAATACAAAGGCAGATATCAAAAACCTTACATCCACGCGTTCGGGAGATCGAGCTAAATCTCCTGGTATAGGCCCCGCCCATTTCCGCAGAGACTTTTTTTTTTGCTACATCGCAAAAACTGATAAACCTATTTTAATGTACTCCTCCGAAGCCGCAAATCCGATTGGACTTGTACAAACACTCCCATAGACAACAGGGTGTTTGGTGCAATTCGGCCTAAAGGTGGCGCTATAATTGAAGCTCAAATACCGTTGGACAATCCTATTCATATCAATGGGATTTTCAACGAAAGGACATTTGGCCTCATAACTACGGCCTACGACATCGCACATTCATAAACCTTATGTCTACATCTTTGGGGAATGCTGCCGATTCCGATGGTATAGGACACACCTCTGTGCGATGACATTTTCATTTCGCTAAATTGCAAAAACTGGAAAACCTATTTTAATTAACTCCTCCGAAGCTGCAAGGCCGATCGGCACCAAACTTGGCACGGACCATCTCTGGACCGAGCCGATAAAGTTTGTAGAGGGAATTTTCATCCAATAAAAAATGTCATAATTACAAGCTAACAAATTTTTGCACAAACACTAAAAACAGGGTGTCATGTCCGATCTTACGTTTGCAATGTCTGATCTACACCAAACTTGGGGACCTTATCTGGCACGCCCTCCCGAGAGGAAATTTGTCTGTCTGAAATTTAGCGTCAATCAGCCTCTAGGTGGCGCTTTTAACTGGAAATCAAATAACAATCCCACAGACATACATTCATTTCACATCTTCATAAACGCATTTAGAACCCTGGTCATTTATTCTCCACAGGCCCCCTGAGCCACAGCAAGGCCCGTGCACAATAAATCATGGCGGGCCCGGGCAGACTCGCACCCTCTGCGGGGCCAGGGGGGCGGCTTCCGCCGGGAGGCTTTAACCCCACTTATAACTGCTTGCAGTTCTAGTTTTCTTTTTGTTTTTTCAAAAACAGCCACTCATTGTCATGTATAGCTCTACCTGAATAACTTTACTGTATTTTTTTCATGATCAGCTTATCTACTCTATCACTCACAGGTCTAACATGTGCTTTTCTTTTTTTTTATTGAAAGCGTGGTCCTTTATGAGTGCTGTCCTGGGTACATGAAGCTGGACGGCATGAGAGGATGCCCTGCAGGTAGGTAGCTCTCACCACACCACACACAATGGTCTTAAAATATTTATTAACCCACACACAGTTGGGGTTTATTCAAAGTCAGGCTGTTTCTGAGCATGAACAATTCCTGTGCTTTCTCCCCTAGTGGTTCCCATTGACAATGTGTATGGTACGCTGGGGCTCGTCAAGGCTACGACCACACAGCAATACTCTGACATGTCAAAGCTGAGAGAGGAAATTGAAGGGAAAGGCTCCTACACCATGTTTGCCCCAAACAATGATGCTTGGGATCAGCTGGACCCTGTAAGTAGACTGGAGGTTTAAAACTTGTCTTTGGGAACACATATAAATATAATAATTAGGGCTGGGCCTAATTAATGCAGACAATTATTTTATCGCACTTTAACGCAGTTTTTATTATTATTTTGAAAGTCCGTTGCTCACTGGCTCTGTATACACATACTGTCAAATCATGGGTCACCATGTGTCACAGGAGGGGTGGGATGCTGATCAGCCTGCAAATCACCCACCCAAACAAGCAGTGAAGGGAGACTATGCTGAGTGCAGCATGTGGGAGAAGTAGCCAGATAAACAAAAGCAAGACAAGCGATCAAATGCCATAGCAAAGTGTATAGCTACACACTGCATGATGATTAGTATTGGGGAAGATGTTGGTCTTAAACGGTCTTAAAATTACAACGTAGTCACTTGGCCCCTTGGGGATGCTCTTTGCTCCGGTGATCAGAAAGGGAGACAAGCAACAAGTAAACGGCAGGCGCTCTATTGAGATTAACGATGGCAACGGCTTCTGTGCGCTAAACAGCTGTAGCCTATTTAACTTAAGTCAAAATTATACATAACTTTACCTGATAGGCCCACATCTAGTTTTGAGGGGATGCTCTGCCATGCGAATTTCCTCCTGTTGATGTCCTATTTATTAGTCTAAACAGTAATAGATTCTGGAAACTCACAAACAGCGAGAATCAGTCTCATATATATTAACCTGTTGCCTTGAAGGTGCCTGTTATGATGTTCTTACTTGTTTTAACAAGCTATAAAAGGTAATGCCCTGGCAGTGGCAAATAGCTTTGGTTTTATATTTGATTTGATTACATTAATGTTTAAGTTGAGATTTACAAGAAATATTTTATTGCTACTGTGTAAAGGGAATGCTGCTGGTAAAAAACACCTTATTTGTTTAAAGTGTTTGCTTACCACATGTTATTGCACTTTTGTGTATATAGCAGTACATTTAAATTAAAAGTGCGCAATACACTACTTTAGAATTCATTATTCAATTTTACGCATAACTATGCAATTAATCGCGAAAATAATGCAATTAATCATGATTAAAAATTTTAATCGTTGCCCAGCACTAATAATAATTACTGATACACTTACTGCACTTTAACTAATGTTCTGATTCCCCCAGACCATACGGTCTGCACTTGTGAGCAACGTGAACATCGAGCTGTATAACGCTCTTCACTTCCACATGGTGAATCGGCGTCTTCTGACCAAAGACATGAAGAACGACATGACTGTCACTTCCATGTACAATGACCTGGGGCTCTACATCAACCACTACTCAAATGGGGTCAGTTAATGCACAGTGTAGAAATGAACAAGTATGAATCCATGATTGAATTACCTTTATGAAAGCCTTCTGGCCCCAGTGATGTTCTTGGCTTAACATTTCCTCTTTGTGAAGGTTGTGACAGTGAACTGTGCCAGGATCGTCCATGGTAATCAGGTGGCCACAAACGGTGTGGTGCACGTCATTGATCGGGTCATTACCGCTGTGGGCAACACCATCAAGGACGTCCTGGATAACAGTGATGAGCTCTCCTCCTTCAGTGTATGTAATGCACAGCACTTTAAGCTGATCTCTGAAAACGGGTTACAAAGCCAACACTACATTTGACTAATGTGCTTAAAGTCAAACGTGTGTAAAAAAACAAAAAACACTAAATAGACTTAAAAAAGATTTTAAAACAGTATCAATAGGAAACTCAGTGCTTCTAGCAACATTTTTAATTCAGTTCAGTATCTCAGTATGACAAAATGTTACATGTGTCTTCTTACCCAGGCTGCAGTGTTGGCTTCTGGTATGATGGACAAGCTGGACCAGTCAGGCCATTATACCTTGTTTGCTCCCACTAATGAAGCCTTTAACAAATTGAGCCCAGGCCACCTGGAGCGCATTATGGAGGACAAGGCTGTTATTGTAGGTACGTTGTACATGTCCAACACTAATGATGACATTTAGAGCACTCAAGTTTCTTTAGCCACGCTGGCTTAAAATGGGATGGCTCTATGGATGGCAATGTCAGCTGGTCAGACGATCATGACTTTGGTCCAGAATGAAATATAACGTAAATAACAAGTGTTGAATGGATTGCCATGACATTTTGCATAGACTTCCATGGTCCCCAGAGTATGAATCCTACTGACTCTGGTCCTCCCTTGACTCTTCTAGTGCCACCAGCAGATCAAAATTTTCACTTTTCACCAGTGAAATATGTCAATATCAACAGTTTGGATTTGCGCAACATTTTGTACAGACATTCGAGATTCCCAGATGATCCTAATGAGTTTGGGTATTCCTATCTTCTAGCACCATCCTCAGACATTTCAATTTGTCCAATATTTTGGTTTGTGACTAAATACGTTGCCATTGTGAACTTGTTAGCATGCTCACATTAGCATTTAGCTCAAAGCACCACTGTCCCTAAAGACAGCATCACAGACTCTCTAGCATGGCTGTAGTCTGTTATTCTGGTTGATTTTGACACCCACTCTGAAATTAACTTGAATTATGCTGACAAGTTAATATCAAATTAAAATTTAACTACTGATACCATCTTCAAAACCCAGTCTGCAAATTCCTACCAAAAGCATGCCTAAAGTTGGATGCCCATCAAATTCTCCGGGGTTAAGGAATAGATACACACACATCCACAAACCACAGAATGAAAGTGGGAAACTCATGTCTCCAAAGGGGCAGCTTATCTGCTTATTTGCTGAGTCAAAAGCCTTATTAGCATGATGCCAGTTTGCGGCATCCTCAGTGAGTAGGTCCCACTGGGGACACCTCAAACAGACTTTGCTGACCAACCACGTTAGAACAGGATCCAAAGTAAAGATCATATGGAGCCTTGTCCCTTGTGCCTTGTTTCTACAAGGGAAGGTTTGACCACAGTATGACCACAGAGTAATTTGGCCCAGAGTGCACAATGATTTTTGTGGTTTTGAAAGGGTTTTTCACATTGTCATTGCATTGCTTTTGCAGGCCAGTTTTGCTAGCTCAGTTTGACAGTTGGACTCAGTCGGAGGTGTAAGCCTATATCTAAATGTTGATAGAAGTGCCTAAATATTTCTGAAAGAGCTGAAAGAATATGTGTCTGTGTTCATGTAAAGCTTGAATTATGTCATCAGATTACAAAAATAATTACAGGCAACCCACAAAGTCTATAAAAGTGTGAAATCTGATCAGCAAATATATTTCTGTCCCTCCATCTCCATCCCACTTCCACCCATGTACTCAGCCCTGGTGAACTACCACCTGTTGAACAGTGTGCAGTGTGCAGAAGCAATCATGGCAGGGAATGTGTATGAGACCGCAGAGGGCAGTAAAATAGAAATTGGTTGTGATGGCGACAGTCTGACAGTGAATGGCATCAATATGGTGCTGAAGAAGGACATTGTCACCACTAATGGGGTCATCCACCTCATCGACCAGGTGCTCATCCCTGACTCAGGTAAAACAAATCTTGAATCTTAGTCAAAGTTCTCCCTCAGCAAATGTTATTATTCGTTCAAATATTTTTTTTGTTCAGACATGTCATGTTTATGTGATTCATATCAGCCAAGGAAGGGAAGGAGCTGATGGGAGACTCCCAGAGCACTTTCAGCGACATGGTGTCTGAATTAGGCTTAGCTGCTTCCCTGGGTCCAAAGACGGAGTACACACTACTTGCTCCTCTCAACACTGCCTTCACTAGTGAGTCAATCTTCAGACAAGTGCTTATGGGCAGCAGTTCGGCACAATTATTTAGAGAAATTACCTTGAGCATGGATGTAAACAAAATATATATATTTTGTTTTTTTCCAGATCAAAACTGGCATATGTAATAAAAAAATAATAATAATAATTTTATACTTTCCACTACTAGGACTTTTTAAGGCTAACACTGAAAGAAATGTTTTATCAGGACTGGCATTTAATTACCCAAAGTCTTTTCTATCTGTAACTTATTTCTTTGTTTGTCAGATGAGGTGAAGTCAACAGACCAGAATCTGCTGAGACTCATTTTGGAAAACCACATCGTGAAGTTCAAAGTTAAACTGAGTGAGCTTTACAATGGACAGCTGCTGGAAACACTGGGTGGCAAACTGCTCAGAGTCTTCATTTACCGCACTGTGAGACCTGTGTGTGTGTGTGTGTGTGTGTGTGTGTGTGTTCGTGTACATATTGTTGTGTATTGAGTCAAACAGAGTCAGGGAGGAACAGGAAATAAAAGATAAATGGGAAGTGATGAAAAGACAGTTAAGTGTGTCTGCTTCCATAATGGAAATCTGAAAGCTATTACCAGGCCCCTAACCAAGTGTTAACATGATCTTGCTGTCATTCAACTGTTAACAAATGCAATAAAACAGGTAATTAGTCCAGCTCTTGGCAGATAAAGTGTGTTCCTGCTCTGGTGGTTCAGATTTTAGAAACAGCTGCGTTTAATTTACTCACAGAAACTTTTGTATTATTTTTTTGATTGATTACAATCAAACAGAACAGTGTGACCCCTCCAGTCAGCTGAATAGTATCCAGATTTCTACAGGGATTTTTAGGCCTATAACCCTGCTCTCTGAATGTTCTCCCTTTGTTAGGCTGTGTGCATAGAAAATGCATGTATGGTGCGCGGCAGTAAAGAGGGAAGCAAGTCTGCCGTCCATGTTATGAAATCCCTCATCAGACCTGCAGAGAAATCAATCTACCAGCTCCTGGTTGCTGACGGACGGTTCAAGTAAGAACTAAATTGTATTTTACAATTTTTTTAATCCGTTTATGGTTCGTTCTTTCATTATTTCTTTTCAAAATCAAATTGGAAAAACCAAAAAACCAAATCATTTTTTGTTTTTTCTGAAAAACCAAAACGGAAAAATGGAAAAACGGTAAACAAAAAAACAGACATCCCATCCATAAACCCATAACGGAAAACATTATTTGTCGCTAAAGGTTGCGTCTCTATGAGACACTTCCGGAAACGTCTATATGAGACGCTTTGGGACGTCCCGTACAGACCCGAAGTGCTAGTTAGCTAGTCCCTACCCTTACCATAACCATCAGAAATGTTAGTACCTTAACCTAAGTCACTGACTTTATGCATGTCAACTGGCAAACCCTTCTGCTGCGTAGCAAACAGGGGCATTTCATGTGGACGCTGAAGGGTACCTTTAGCGTAAAATCCTTACGCTTTTTCACGCTGTCTGAAAGCGTCAGTTATGACGCATTGAGATGAGAATGCGTTGGTTAAGGCCTATCGGTGTCTGTCTGTAATGCACTGGGGATCCCTATAGTGTCATGGGTCAACGCAGTGGTGAAAACCCTGTAGCGTCAGTTTGTGATGGTAAAGGCAGGTAGATGCTATTTAACAGAAAAGACTGAGAATGTGGTTGGGGTGAATGGAGGGCCAGAACAAGGAGAACGGTGTTCATGTCCAGTGTGAAACAAAAAGTCAATATTATATATTTAAGCTATTTATTCTATTTTATAGCCTATAGTCTAAGGCTATTTCTTTTCAAGTCGCATCCCATATCAACAATGGTGAATCTGATTATAGAAGTGAGCACTACAGGCCTATTATAGCCACATACGAAAAAAGCTGGAGTCAAGCTGGAGGAGCCACTCAAGCACTCACAATTTTTCAATTTCTAGCCTCGTCAGCATCAAGGAAGCATTTTGTTTTGGGCTGATCTGAAGCAGCTGGTTACCTGAGTGATCTAAGAAAATACCTAAATATATTTATCAAGGGTTTTGTCTTGAGGCTACGGCCAGGGTGCCATCTAGGCACTTTGGCAAGGATTATCTGTGTCCCTGTCTGCTCCAGAGTAGGCCTATATTCAAGGCTTAAGGGGGAGCCAGGGGGAGCTTTACTCCTCTTAATAAGACATGACCTCCCTTGAAAACATGATTTGTAATATTTTGTGGGGTCTCTAAAATATTGACAATATGCTATTTTTGCCATTCATTTCTATTTTTCTGTAGCCTATCATGATGGATCATGCATAAATCAGTAGTGGGCTTCATCCAGCCAAAGGGATCGTCTGCAGCAGGTCGCTCCCGCAGCGTCCTCTCCTTCGCCATGTAGGCTCCAGCGCCCGCTCCCTCTCGCGCGGTAGACCTACTATGAGTTGTGTTGCCAGTGGAACCGGTGCACTGGACGGTCAGTGGTCGTTCCCTATGGCTGGATGAAGTCCGATGCTCCTAATCCAGGAGTCGGCAAATATGTCTGGCATCAGGCCAAATTTTTTTTCAAGCCATTACATGGCGGGGCAGAATATAATCAAATTCTTTAAAATCCTTGAACATAGGCTACGTGTGCACATTTGGTTCAGTCAGTAGTGTGCGAGATTCCCGCTGGCAGGATTGTATGATTGATCCCAACATCCTGCGGACCTTTTTTCTCCCTTGTTAAACAAATTCATTATAAGAACACACAACAGCACATGCTCACAAGAAAGCATGTGCTGCAGCGTGTACCCACACCGCCGTTTGATTCGCACTCTTATTTTGGTTTGCCTGAGGAAATTCAGGTTAATCCGATCACTTGTTTACTGACGCTTTTTCAGAGGTGTGTCAAACAAGCCAGATACTCTTTTGAATGGCCTTCAGAACTTTTCAACTCTACATAAAGCACTGCAAAAACCATTTTCGCACTTTTATTTTGAAAGCACAATCACTTAAGAGGAAGTGATTAAGTGAGTAACTGTAGCTGTCATGTCTGCGATCTATTTCAGAACCAGCCACTATCAATAGTTTTATTTTTTATATTTCTGCTATCAAAGCAATCTTTATGCGGGCCAGATATTATTGATTTCTGGCCAGTTCTGGCCAGGTTGCCTATTGCCGACCACTGTCCTAATCCATGTGTTCCTGCAGCTGGTGGCTCTCCGCAGCGCTGTGCAACTTTCTAAATTTTTCCATCTCAGAAAATAAAGGACAGGTCAAAACAGTGTAGCCTAGAGTGGCTGAACGAAAATTTTAATCCATGTATGATTTGTTAATATACAGCTCGCCAAATTAACTAATAACAGTTCATGTTTGCTGTGTACCATTGGATGTAGGCTACTGCCAACTATCACTGAATTAATGTGATACTGAAGAAATCTTAAAAACCAGAGAATTCTCAGGAAAGCGTTCCTGTTCCTGTTGCTAGTGAGTTACAAACTGAACTTTGAGCCAATAGGTGCAGCCTTCCCTACTGCAGCTATATAATATTGTCCTGTTTTTCAAACTACTACCACTTATGTTGATGTTCAAGCTCATCTTAATTACAATTAGGCTAATCAGGCACCGCAACACACAAAGCTACACAAATCGGACACATTAAATATCAAAATCAATATTTTTCCATTTTGGTTTTAAAACAGATTAACAAAAACTGATGTCTGTTTTTTTGTTTTCCAGTTACCTGTTTTTCCGTTTTGGTTTTAAAATGGAAAAACCAAAAAACAACTTTTTCTGATTTGGTTTTGAAACGAAATAATCAAAGAAAAAAACATACATGGATTTTTTTTTTTTGTATTTGGTTTTACATTAATTATTTTCATCATTGTGTTTATTTGTTGTTTTTATTATATTTGCTTTCCTGACTTGGAAACACAATTTGTATGTTTAAAGAGAGACTACATAATGTGTTAAAGAAAAAATAACAACATTGTCCTCTAATAACTGAAAAGTTTAACTCATAAGAAATAAAACACTCCGTTGTTCAATTCAAAATACTCAGCTGCACTTTGTAGCCACAGCCTTAAATTCTATGACCAGTAGCTTATGCTAGCCAATGTTCGCGAACATTAGCTTTTACTTTGTAACCAACATTTTGATGCCCCTTTACTTGTGCAACTGTTACACCATATTTTAGCATGTCGAAGATAACAAAAACATTCAGTGGTTTTATCACAAAAGTAAAACAAAAGTATATATACACACACATACACACACATTTACGGTGGCATGTGGACTCCTTTTTGTAAGGAGAAACAGGGTCATTACAATAGGTAAGAGAAAGTACAACAATAATAAAAACATGATAAGGCTGATAAGGTTGGTTTGTGCTCACACGTTTGATAGAACACAGACTTAAAATGATGAGCCTGCTAGTTATCTAAGATACTGGGAAAAGTGAGAAATTGAGTTGTCAGGAGAATGTTACCTTCATCACAAAAAAATTAGCAAACATTAGTGGCAATGCCTGACAAAACACATTTCACAGTTTCTGGCTCTATGACTGATATTGGCACCAGTAAAGGCGGATGATGAATAACTCAGGAAGCAGATGTTTGAATCAATAGGACCACACAAGCACATAAGTCTCACACAAATCCCAGCTTGAACTCCATCTTATAATATTGCCAAAACCATAATCCTTCTGTCTTACATGACATGCTTTTGGTCCAAATGCAACATAAAATCTGGTCTACTAACAGCACACTAATCATTCTGCCATTATCCACAGCTGTACTTTTCTTTGTGTCCTTGTTTGTGCAGTCTGAAACACAGTAGTTCCTCACAGAACTGGCAAAAAAAAGAAAAGAGAAAAAATTTGACACATTCAATTATATCTGTCTGTCTATAAAAAACACTGTGTCAGGGTTAGGGAATCCCTTATGTGATGTCACTGACCACTACGTTAAAAAAACTGGGGTAGGGCTCAAAATGTTTTTTCATTTTTATTTCTGTTCTTTTTTGTTTGTGTAAAACATCTTCAACATTATCATTTCCATGAACCCAAAAGTTTAAAAATGTAGGCTTTCTCACACACTATGAAAAAATACAAATGTTGATTGTCTGAATTATTGACATTCTTCTTTTCTTTCTTTTATTTTATTTGAATAACTGTAGGATTTTCCTGTCGCTGATGGAGACCGCAGGTCTGACTGGGCTGCTGAAGCAAGAAGGCTCTTACACTGTCTTCGCACCAACTGATGATGCGTTTGATGGTCTCAGTAGAGAAGACTTGGCTTTGCTCAAAAGTGAGTACGCCACTGAAATGAACACATACCAACATCCTTTCATTTATCTCAATTATAAGACTAGGGATAGGTGTCGAACTAGTTTGTACTGATATGTAATTATATAAAAGAAAAAAAATATACGTAGAATGCACACTCCCCTTTACAGTAGGTAACTCAAGTTTGCCTTATGTTCATGTCATTCATAGGTGATCTGAATGCTTTGAGGATCATTCTGCTGTACCACTTCAGTAATGGTATCTTCATCAATGGAGGATTAGAGGGAGGAGTTACCAATCTGCTCAAAACCCTCCAGGGCAACAACCTGCAAGTTTTGTCTGTATGTGGAATCAGCCATCATTTGATTGTGTATTTGTGTTCTTAGAATCAAAGAAAAAGGACTGATTTCAGTCATCGATCAATCAAACAGGGATGAAATGTCATCGATCAATCAAACAATTTGGAAATGCATTAACAGATGTATCCGCACATGAAATTCCACCCATCGAGAATGTTGTCTTTTGAGTAAGATGTTCATCTATGATTACACCCCGCAGACTAGTTGGCTGGCAGCTAGATTTCAATTACTGCCCACTTAAGATTTTTTTTAAAACGCATGAAGCAGAGGAGACCATATTCAAGGGCTGACTCTTCCTTTAAGAGCATATCTGGCATCAAGATTTACATTTTTTCAGGTCTCTGTTGTGAGACTTAAACCCAGTCTTTCCCCACATTCTCATTTAAATAATAGCATCTAAGGGCCAGTGCTAATCTATTACTTCAAAGCTGGATGTCTCTGGAGCAAGGCCAGACGTAATAAAAACCTAGCTTCCCGTCATTTCCATCAACACCCAGTCTTGGTATTCACACACCACTCCCTGCTTCCCATTCTGATACCTTCCACCTGCCATTTCATTCTGTCTGCCTTGCTCTTGCTTGCTTGTCAGTCTACATGTCGGCTTTATCTTCATTTAACCCATTACCTTAGTTTTGCTCCCGCTCTATCGTGCTATCAGGTCTCAGATCATTCCTTAATGGGCACAGGAAAGCATTCTTGAGATAATTCACCAACAGGACAGTGGGCTATTGAGGCTTCAATTAGAAAAAATGGGACAGTGATTCATGGAAGCCTGGGGTTTGGTTTTAAAATAAAGGGGGAGAAAGGAAACCTATCTCTATTCTACTCAGCATGTCCACCTTCAGTCACCTCCATGGAGATAATTAAATTGGAGGAAATGAATTCCTGATTCATTTCCTCAAAACCACTCATGTCAAACTATTTTGAAAAAGTGTAAATTTAGATGTGTTAGACAATAAATGTCTTGGTATTGTATTTTTAAGGCAGTAGTTGATGTAGCTTATAAAATAAGAATGTGTTTATTAATACATTGAAAAATCTGTTTTTCCCAGGTAAACAACTCTATTCATGTCAACTCTGTGGATGTGCCAAAAAGTGACCTGATGGCGAAAAATGGTGTGATCCATGTGGTGAAGAATGTCCTCTATCCTGCCGGTGAGAACAGCATGCATTATGATATATTCATGCAATGTGCACACTGTGCTGGGAGGCATTATGTTATGTTCTGATGATGCATATTATTTACAGACCTTCCTGTGGGCCGCCAGGACCTCCTGGTCCTCCTGAAGAAATTGATTAAGTACATCCAGATAAAGGTAGAGAAAGAGAACATATTCATATGTCTGAATATGTACAGATCAAAGATAATTTTTTTATTATTTTTTGTGTGTCTTTATTCTTATTCCCTTTCATTCTGGTATGCTTTTTGTTCTTTAGTTTGTTTCTGGATTTTCTTATGCTGAGATCCCACTCACCTTCCTCAGTAAGTTTGCTTAGGTCCACTGTCACCGTATGATGTGTTATTATTGTATCTGTGACAATTTAAAACTTCTTGTGTTACTTCACAGAGAGTACCATCACAACTACACATTATTTTGAAACAGGTAAGACTGCTATTCCTAACCACTTTATTAAAACACATGTTTGGAATCTGTCGTGGTTGTACGATATAGTTATCATTGGTGGTGAATACAAAAGACATGACTGCCTTTGATACTAATTCATGTTCTTTGTTCAATAATGAGCATTTCTTCTTAAAGTCCAACCTGCAGCCACAGGCATATTAAATGCAGATCATCGCTCCATTCAGGTCTCTTCTGTGGTTCCCGTCTTTGTTCCTCTGATTATCCACTTTCGCTATTGCTTAAGTCCACTTGGACCTCTTGGCATATTTAATCAGCTCCTTTAGGGATGAGGTAATTTGGCTGTCAAAGCCAAACAGGGTCAGAGACCCTAAAGGACTCTTGGATGTTGTTCATTCAGTTGGGCTGATGCCAGTGCACTTCCACACAGATGGGAGCATGCCTTGATGTATTGGGTAACATAGGAGAGATGAAGTCCTATTCTTCGAAGGTAATTAGGCACATTACATGGACTATACACCTGAAAGTCTGGACATCCAGAGGATTTAATTTTAAGGATTGCCATTTTATGCTATAAATTTATGGAAATACATTATACTTGATCAATGTTTTACAATGTATATTTTACTTTTGGTCTCAATGACTATTTTTTGGAATTGTGTTAATAGTTTTCACATATAATATCTGTATAAACAAAATGTGGTAAAAAAAAACATGCCAAATACACACAAATGTGCACGCACACAATTATAAATTCCATCATTATATTATTTTTACTGTTTGTAACATATGCGGAATAAGCTATTAGGTCATGTATATCCTTGTAGCAGTATACGCTCATAAAGCAAAACAGTCAGTTTAAAGTATAAATTACCAAAATCTCTTAATGACTTTGTTTGAAAGAGAAAACAAGAGTCTGGCTCTGATTACCCGACGAGGCCACGTATCAAGGGAACTCAGGCCAAAGATTAGAGACCCTCTGATTAAAACACGTGTGTCAGCTTTCAACACTTTAAAGCTCATATAAATACTGTCACATTAAAAAAATCATCGCCCAAAAGCCGTAAATATAAAATAATTGAAAGAATGTCCCTGGCTGAAGTTTCTGTTGAAGCTGATTCAGAAGAGGAATTGTAAGGTTTTGCAGAGCCAACATATCTGCCCCCAGACAGGAATTGAATGAAGAAAAATTTGTTATGATTGTGTAACATGTCACATTTTCTCCTTTTGTATCATTTTAAAATCAGTAGACAAGATTTTTTTAATACCAAAACTCATGAAAATGTATGAAAATGTAAACATGTCTGTAATGTGATGCTTGAAACTCAACAAGTAGAAGCGAAAATGAAATCTGTCCACAGGGAGCAGCTCACGGGACCATGAAGCGTAACAGCAGCAATTATTAGACTTTCTTTTCAGTGGTGAAATCTAATATCCTACGCAGCCTCTATTTGTTCTGCATGCTTTGATAACTTCACATACTGTAGCTTGAACCTCCCTCCTCAATCATAACAGAGAAAATGTGGGAGTGTTTTAAAGCTAACCTTTCTCTCTATCATTCTTAATGGACGCTCATGTTACCTCTGCTTCTTTACAGTCCCTGATGTAAAAAAGGTGACCAGGGTTATTGAGGGGGAGCCAGTCAAGGTAACAAGAGTAATCGAGACAGAACCAGTAGTCACTAAGGTGGTCATCGAGGGGGAGCCGGTGATTACCAAAGTAACCAGGGTCATCGGGGGAGATCCTTTGGCCACAAAAGCTACCAGGGTCATTGAAAGACAGCCTACCATCACCAAGGTTACAAGAGTCATCGCAGGTAAGATTTAAATCATTCATATTTTATGTGCAAATGATAAGTTAGATAATCAAATCTGAACTTCACAAAGAGCTCAACATAGATTCTGATGACACAACACATTTTGTTTAATGCAGGTGGAGCTCTTGATACAGATGGAAAAACAGGTCAGTTTCTCCCTTGAAGAGCGTGATGAACTTTCATGGATCTTCTAATATCTCTTTTTAACAAATGCATCCAAGGTCCTATTGCCCACAGTTAACTGAGCATCATCATTTAATGTGAATTTCATTTCACATTTCATTTGACATTTTATTTGGTGTTCATCAATTAAATCATCAGACAGAAAACCTTCATGGTGTGCACCATTTTAGCTTCAAAGGCACATTTTTGTGTAATTTATGGAGGTTTTTAAGATTGGTAAATGTAATTGAAAATCAAAACCATTTCAATCAAATTTAAGAATGTTATACTGTAAAACCTGTGCTACGCTTGTTTAACAATCATATAAGCACTAGCTTAAAGTCACTAGCATAGTGACTTGTTTGTTTTGGCTACCACCGATGGTTTCAAGCTAATTCTTTGTCTTTAAGGCTAGCATTTTTGGCTTCCTCTTGCTGCATGAGCCTGTCTTTTCAGTTTCTCAACTTCTTGATCAGACTTCAATTTTGGCTCATAAAACACCTGACATGGTCACATCCACTAAAAGCAGTGGCTAAACATTTGAATGAATGTGAAAAGAGTATTTCACATCCACCTGTTTGCCAGTGGCATCATGAGATATGTTATTACCCCACAAAAACAAAAAACAAATTCATCAATGGCTGCAAATAAAGATAAGTAAAGCAGAACCTGTATTGAGGACTAGACCCATCTATCCATGTATCCAAGTAAATCTGAGGGGTACCACCACTAATCACACAAAATATAACCTCTGATATCATCCTGAAGAAAAACAGTTCAATATAATTACACTTAATGCTCACGTTTCTTATTCTAAACAGTCCTACCTGCCTATATTGTCACAAAAGTCAGGCTCATGAAAAAGACCAGTGACAGAAAGCCAGTTTCAATGTATGTTTAATTGCTGGGCCAGTTATGTTGCTTCCTGGCTGCTGTACTTTCGGGGGAGAACCACAAATCATCTGCAATAACATGCTGCAATAATATAGAGCCAGATGTGTTTTACATAGAGAACACAGGATTCTACAGTATATTATGACAATCTTTGGCCAATCACCATTCATAACATCACAAGCTCATTCTGGTTTATGTTGTTGGTATAGGCTCAGTAATGATGTTCAGGAGGTTGATTTTTATAGTTCATCTTCTGGGTAGGCACACATAACTACATAAAGCTAAAGCCAAGTTTTTGTACATGTTCTTCTACTGGCCGTGGTGCACCATGATTTGGATGCCTGTCCATCTCACCACATATCCATCTGTTTGACATCTCTCTGTCAGTGTTCTTGTCTCTCAAGAAACATACAATATTACCCATTCTCTGTCTAACACAGCTGTGTGTGTGAGCAGTGTGCAAATTATAATGGGCCATTTTGGGGTGCTAAAATCAGACCATTGAGCCATTGGCTTGTGTGGGTGAAGGTGAGTTTTCACCTACAGCAGCTTCATTGGTGTCTTGCAGCTTAGTTTGTGGACTGCGTGCAAGTGTGTGTGTGTGTGTGTGTGTGTGTGTGTTCATAAATACTGCACATCTGTACTTGACTTTGTGTTGGCGGTGGCGGAGGAGGTGTTTTATCAGGGTGTATGTACCTGTCAGTCTGTCCGTCTGTCAGTCAGTACAGTTGCTAAGTCGTTAAGTGACTTTCAACACCCTTCTCCGCTGCCCGTCTGAAGGTGGAGCCAGATTCCCCACGGTGAACGAGCCTTATATCATTGAGGGTAGGGTCTCCTTACACAAACTCTTTACACCAAACAGGTTTCTTTTAAATGTCTGTGTCCTTTCCTCCCTGAAATAATCATGTTTACAAATATGTATTAATTCAAACAAGTGGTTACTTCAAGGTGGAAAAAAGAATGTGATGCATTTTTAAAACTGATGTAACTCACTACATGATGTTGTATGTGAGGGACATATTACTCTGTATTTTGGATCTGATGGTTTTGTTTTGGACGCTCAGGCCCAGACTTCTCTAAGATTACCACCATCCACAGCAACCTAAATCAGATCGATGAGGAATCAGAGAGAATCACCAAAATCATTCAAGGTGAACACTGCACAAATTTTGTGTAGTAGTTGCATGTGTGTAAGTCCAAATTCAGTGATTGACTGTGTCGTCTCTTCATGTTGCAGAGGGAGGTAGATTCGCTGCGGCCAAGAGAGCTCCAGGTAAGATTACATTTAGTTGATGAAGCATTCATCAACAATGTTGGATCAGACTAAAAAGAGTTTGACAGAAACCACATAATCACGGCTGGAAAATATGCATAGCAACTATCTAACAGCAATTTGTTTGATTTCCCTTTCGCTCATGTGATTTCTTTCTTTCCATTATCTATCTTTGCATCGTTCCACCTATTCTTCACTTGTTTCATGTCTTTCCTCCTTGACATGTTTGCTTTTATGTTTGTACTTAGTCACACCTTTGATTCCCCCCATTAACTCTGTCTCCTCTTTTATAGCTGGAATGAAGAGGAGAGCAAGGCCAGCCAGGCGTCACTCCAAGCCAAGAGAGTGAATCTTACAGAAACTAAACACCTTCTCGCTCACTGCAGAGACTGAATCCATCTCCAGTGCTCCTGGTCGAGCGCTGGAGGATCGAAAAACTGTGGACCAATAGGGAGAGATCAAATCAATCTAGCTATTTTTTTGTCCAAACCATCAATAGGAATCCCTAAGATTGTTTACTATTTCATCTAGACCATACTGTATTTGATAGGTATTATGTATAAACTCATGCAATGAAATTAGCATACCCTTCATGTAAGTAATGTAAGTGTGCAAGGGAAATATAAACTTTTGCTGTGAGGTGATGGTGTGTCAGGTGAGATATATTCTTCCACTGAGAGAAATTTTTTAAAGGTTTGCTTTTATGCTTTTTATGGTGCTTGCATTCTTTGCAATGGATGCATTTTAATGACTAGGACGAGTCAAACAGTGTCAAACAGTGTTTTGCTAGCATTATATGCTGTACTGTACCACTGTAAATTATCACATGGTAATTAAAGACTACCGTGAATTTTTATATTGTTTTCAGTTATTCTTTACAGCTTCCAAGACAGTTTTTACTCTGTTTTTACTATACCAAAATGTTTCATGCTGTTGAATGTGAGCTTGACTAGTGTACGCCCTTGTACAATCAGGCTTCACAATCACATATTTCTTTTTACAGAAATTAAATGTGTTCATTACAGTAATGCCACCTTTCTATATTGCTACCTGCCTCAATAATATTTGAAACTGACATGGTGGCCAAATAAAAATAAAACAGAATTTCTGTATTTATATAAAAATGTCTTAATCTTTTCTTTCTATTGTTCATATATGAAAATGCTAACAGTAAGGATTTTCACCTTGACAATGGAAGCAAATAAAGTCCTTGAAAATACATCATGAAAATATTACATATTGAACAACATACATCAATGTCTAAAAGTTAGAGATGAGATGAGTCAAATCTGCATTATGTCATGTAATTTACCACCACAAAGGTAGGTCAGTAGAAAGTTTCAGTCCCACCATTAGCCACATGTTAATGCAACCCCAAACTTTTATTTCCATGTGGATCATAAACCAAAGCTTAATACAGAACATATTTTGAGTCCACAATTTCTATAGATGCTGCCTTTTATCTCTGGCTTGATTTTGTGGTTTCACAAATTTGTTTATGAATAATAAGTAAGAGGTTTTCACTAATTCCATAGCTTTTCAAAATAATTTTCACATTTTATATCACATTCTTTATCTTTTATCATTCTCTCACTTTATCTAAGGTGTTAACATATTGTATACTCGACGGTACGCTAGACACCATTCATGATCATTATGTGTTTTTCTCACTAGATACTAATAAGCATGCATAACATACTGTGTTAAGTATGGGAGTTGTGTATACTCATTAGTATCTGAGTTATGCAGACACACAAAAAAACCCACAAAAACTGTATATATCTTTCTTAATCACTCCTTTAAAATTTATCTAGTTCCTGCTATTTAATGAACACTGATTTTTCTTTTACACATACCTTTAAGAATATTTCCATATATTTACAACATGAGGGTGTGTCAAGGAGAGAAGAGCAAGTTCTTTCTCTTGAGTATTTGCACTTGCAAGTCTCTTATTGGCTTTGGACCACCACTTGCGTACCTCACATTATGTCCTGATCAAAGGGTATCTGCATGGTAAAAATATGTACAAAAACATTGTACAGTAAGGAATTACATAATAGCTACACGATGCAAAATTTTTGCTGTAGCACATTACACATGTATGCTCTCTCTGTTGGACTAATTTTCTTCCTGCAGCATATCAGATTTTCCTTCTGAGAAGAAGAGAAACATGGGACCATAAGCTAGAAATGAGCAGCAGAGGGGAGTTGACAGCAGCAGAGGGGAGTTGAAGTGTGCACAAGGACTGCAGGCTTAACGTCACTGAGTGCTGATAACAAGGTACAAATAGAGGTCATGATAAATGTGAGCTTACTGTAGGTGTGCTCATGGAGCACATGGGTTTAGAAGCTCAGATTCTTTGGCTCCTTTTGATTGCAAAAACACATTATGAAGCTGCACCCCTGGACCATACACTGGCTTGAAATGATGGATTATTCGTTTTGACAATGACACAACTCTATACATTTCTTTTGAACCCAACTTCAGATCATGATATCATGAGATCAGCACAAAGATTGAGTCTGGACAGTTGTAGATGGTTGGTCCATCCCCAAATGACCAGACAAGCAACACATAGATAATTAAGTACTTAGATGACATATTATGGCATGTTTAATATTGAAGTTACAGCCAGGATAAAATTCTGACTTAATTCAGATCCATTGTCCCCTTACAAATGCAAAGTGAGAGTAATTCTGCAAAAGGATTGTTGATTTTTGAACTCAACTGCCAAACAAATACATACCTCCCTCCGCCCCCAGAACTTCAAATGTCTGGTATCTCCAGCTTTGAAACATTATTGCCCTTGCCTGGTCATGTAACTTTCTTCTCTGTTTATACTCTTCAGACCTTTTCCTCTTTGGCTGTTTCTCGGCCATCTCTCTTTCTTCACAGTGCCTTGAATCCAGCACATTTAACAACATATAGGACTCTCTCTCTCTCACTGCCTCCCTCCCCACAACACTCCTGTGCATGAGCACTAACTGTTGCCACTATCTTTGTTTTCCATTTACAGAACCAGAGCTGTATAAGAAAACTTATGTGCTAAAGCCTATCAGGCCAAACAAGAATCAGATTGACATTGGGGTAAACACAAGGTCAAAGTCACGAACAGAGAGCTAGTGAACCGTGAGGAAATATTCACTGAATTTAACAAAAAGTGTATTGATTACAATCACTTACAATCCCTAATTAAGTAACTCTTAGGGCGTTGACGGGAGAGGGGACACGCTGGGCGCGTGCCGAAGCGCAGTTGGAGAGTCAGGAACAAGCAGAGGACAAGAGAGCGAACGACAGCGTGTGTCGCGCTTTTGTTGGTTGAGGCGTGGTTCCCAGAGGGCATTCCTTTGTTTCCCTAGGAGGGGCTTGTCCGGGTCCCCGAGAGAGTGTTTTTCTTTAGACATATTAAGGTTAATCAAAAAAAATCTATTGGCACGTATTTTAATCAAATATCTTCCCACAATCAAACCTCAATTGTCAAACGGTTGTTCCGTTCTTAGTTTAAGCACTTGATAAAAAGGAAAACAATTGTCAGTAGTTCAACTTTGAGGTTAGCATCTCAGAATGACACACATCAGAGGAGAAGAATTTAACTAGCTGGATATATTGGCGGTTACACGTTCTTAGAGAATATAGGCAAGACACACGAATGGCATCAGATTATTGGACATGATAAATACCGAGTGACATTTATACATTAACGGCATTTCAGAAGATGGCATGTAATACTTATTTTGTCCACTTGGGGGAGCTCGGGTTACATGAGGATAGCTCTGATTAATCCTAAAACAATCTTCTCAGAAGCTAGGGAATTTAGTCATTTTTAATCTTAAATTCAAGCTGGAAAATTAATCGAGTATAGGATGACATTTCTTTATCATCATTTCTAAAGGAGGTGTCAGAAAGTATTGTGAACAAAGCATTGGTTACAAAATAAAATGAACAAAGTCAGGTGACCTTGCTGAAAATTACAACACTGCAAAACTTATTTAGATTCTTTTCGATTACAAATAGCAACAACAACAACATGATAACATAACTACTCAAATGTGTAGTGGATGTAGTGGAGAGACCTAGTCAAGTAACTTTTAAAGATTTAATTAAACAAGGTAATGCTTTGTTTTCACAAAGAAGTTCAGGGCTGTCACTGGTGTCCTGGAGCTTCTCACACCTGGGCATGAAAGAAAAATAACCTTTGATGTGAGGTAATTGAACAAAGAGGAAGGTCAGTTGCCATGGTTACGTGTGTGGGGGGGCAGTTTAGGGTTTCCTGCCCTCTCTTAAGAAGAGTTGTTCAGGAAAACGCTAATCTCTGGTCAGTGTTCCTTGTGTCATTTTAACAATCAAGCACCGCGTTATCTGGCTGCGGTATCAGAGGTGGCAAGTTTTATGATCAGACTTCCCAGAGACAGCACTTAGGGAGAGAAACCTTTCACCTCTTCCTTGGAGTCGCTTCAGATGTCTGTAGAGGGTTGATAATCAAACCCCCTCCTCCTTCTCTCTGGGAGAGAAAATAAAATGCACAAATCCACGCTGTTGGTACACAACAAGCACATTTCAACAACAAGGTAATTCAAAGTGCTTTACATAAAACATAAAAGCAACAGGGAAATATAAAAAATATAAAAAAGTTTAAAAGTTAAATAGAAAATAAAAACAGGTAGGTCTCCCACCTTTGCTTATTTTACTCCTTTGATTCCCCATCTCCCACTCTATCCCCCCTTTAACACTTAGGGACTCTAACCCTAAGGGAACTCTAAAGAGTAATTTATACTTCTGCGTCAAATCGATGGCGTAGGTGACGGCGTAGGCTATGGGGCTACGCCTTAAGTGCACCTCCTCAAAAATGTAACTACACGTCAAGTCGATGCGGATCGTAAGCTTAGTGATTGGTCGGCTGGGTAGCCTCGCAATGCCTCCAAGCCGACCGGAAGTACCCCGCGCTTTGAAGTAACATTTACTAGCTGCCAAAACGGTAGCTGTAACACAGTGAATCAATATATTTGGCCGTCGCAACCCGAGCGAAATGACTCGTTTCACTATCAGAATGTGATCCATTCTGTCGGTAACATTTGAAAAGGCTACACCAGCCGCACGTATACAATTTTACCCCCATTTATGTTAGCGGAGCGCTAAACCGGAACTTAGCCTGCTCGGCCAGCAAAAGTCAACACAGTGGACACTTTAGCGCTACTGCTGACTAGTGTTTGGGGGTGTAATTGCAGAATAACGGACACACCTACGCACAAGTATAAATCAAGCGGCAACCTCCGGCTCTCACTTCCGATACCAATACGGAAGTATCTCAAACTGCAATTCATTGAGTGGCCACTTGAGGCTGGCTGCAGAAGGGAGCCAATCTCCATTGACCCTTATGTTAAAATGCCCAACTTTACAGCAGAATAAAACATGTTTACAGCCTGGTTCAAAAAATGGTTTTAGTGCATATCGCTAATTTTGCCCTTTGTGACAACTGTGAGGGTAGTGAATTTTTTTTTTAACTCACCTGTTTAAATCATATTAAGCCTTAAAGTTCTGCATTATTAGGGGTGTGGCTGCTTTGATTGACAGGCGCCATTAGCCGCTGCCACTGCTAGCACTCAGTCCGCCGTTTATTAGCCTCACTCAGCTACACAGAGCTCTGAGGCTCAGCCTGTCGGAGCCTTTTGGACATTTCTACATGCAGATACTGGATGAATAATGGCCGGCTGTGCAGTTCATTGGAGAGAGAACCTCCAGTAAATCTGTGTTCTACTTGGTGAGTGAAATTCCTGTATTTTATTTATGTGTTAACATTTAACAGGTATCACTGTTGGCATATAGCTTGTTAGCTTAACGTTAGCTTGTTACGCTAATTAGCCAGATACGAGCAGACCCAAGCTGCTAAGTTAGTTTAAGTAAGTAAGTTAGTGTGTTCTAACCACAGCTTTTAATGAGTCAAAGACAAGTCAGCAAGAAGGGAGAAGCCAAAATGTAGCATTATTAGATTAACCTTAGTGTTATTACATTACATTATTACATTACATTAGGGTGATAATGCTTTGAAGAAAAGGCGTCTGTGTGAAGTTGTAACGTTAAGTAAAGGCTCAGCTCTGTTAGCTGACGTTATGTTATTGGTAACTTTTACTAACAGGCGATGTGAGATTTAGCTACATCCTGTAACGGTATCACTAATCAGTACTAGTCAGATACTATTATTAGTGGCTACACCTGATCCCGATGGACACGAAGGGTTTAAAGGCAGAGAGCCAAGGGGGGAGCGGCTGCGGAGTTCTGCCTGAAACTGTCACACCGAGGAGCACTGATGCCACTATTTGAGCTAGCTGTCTCTCCCGAGGAGAGCCATGCACCTCTGTTTAAAAACAATAACGTTATGCTACTCTTTGTGGGGTTCATCAGTGGGGATGATTGATTCGAAGTACATATTAAATGCAGTTTAGAGTCATCAGTTTATTACACTTAGTACATGCAGCATTCCTTGAGATTCAGCAAACAGTCAGTGATAACAGTGATAACTGCGTTTGATCAGCGACGTTTCTGATAAGGAGCTTAAGAGGTGGATGCATAATTCGGCAGAACAGCTGAGCAGAGATTTACATCCACCTTTTTTGTCAGCATATAATGCGCGTTATGCCTGCAGACAGGTATCTGGTCTCTAACTAGGGCGATGGTTTAGTTAAGGCGAGAAATTAGGTGTGTGAGAGCCGTCTGAGTTTGTTTGGTGGGTTAGAATTTGCCAAAAAAGGTAGTACAGTTCAATAAGAAATACAAAATAAGATCCTTATAATAAACATTCAATAAGATCTGACTTGAGTAGTTATTGTTGCAGTGTCCAGCAGAAAACTGTAAATTGCACATATTAGTAAACAGTGTATTTCACATTGCCACCCCTTATTACTGTCACATGCCAGAGAGGTTATCATGCTGAGGCGATCTCAGAGTTCAGTAGCTTTATGGCTCTTTGGAGGAAGCTGCTTAACTGTCTACCCATTGTTGTCTTTACAGGTGCCAGAGGAGCTGATTGCAGAACCCTCCAGATGTGATTAGCTGTGTCCAGCTCTACAGGAGAGAACAGCTCCAGCTTCCAGCTCTACAGGAGAGAACAGCTCCAGCTTCCAGCTCACAACACCTGAACACTACTGATGTGAAATTATGACACTGGGTCCTTATCAACAGATTCTATCATTATTATAACTCTCAACACATTTCAAGTCATACAAAACTACTTTTACATTTGTAACCTTTTAATATTGATGTTTTCATGAATGCAAGACAAGAGTTTAATTTATTAAACTATTGCTTGTGTATTAGGAATACTTTGTTATAAAGTGTATCAAACTATTTATACATAATAAAATCATTCTTCATTGATCATCAGTTTCATATTTTAATTTTAAATAGTATGATCTAAACTTAACAATATTATAGTTAACAGCTGTAAATGAAAATATTAAGATGTTATTTACAGGCTAACATTTTACATATGTTAGTAGAAAGTAAAAAATGAAAGGTTGATGTTACATACTGTTTTATTTTGACATTTCTTTAAGAGACAAATGTGACATTGACTGAGAAGTTACTCTGTTGTGGAAAAACAAAGAATTATCTGCACACTGAAAAGATGTGAAGCCCTGTAGGAGGTGTCATTTATTGCGACCTCTGAGAAGGTCTTGTGTGGTTTACATTGTATAGACTCACCTATTTACTACATGTGCATTTGATCAGCTCTGAGACCTCAGAGTTTGCAAGGTCACAATAAAAACCACCTAGTGGGAATCATAATTACTCTGTGCAGATCATTCTTTGTTTCAGCACTTATGCACAGGATGGTTTGGATGTGCCCACATTATTCTGTGTTTAAACTAGACTTATATCAGAGCAGCAAACAAGGCACTCTTCAGAAACTTCAGGCTCTGTTATTCAGTATATGGGTACTGGGTGTATGGCTCCTTATTTATCTTAAAGTATAAGGTAGAAAGTAAAAATACTCCTGCACACACAGAAATACACTACATAATTACTTTTCAACATTTCATGTGAAACATGTTTGGGAGTATTTTCACTTTTCAACTTAGACTGATGTTCTTAAGCAAGAGTTCAGCTTTAATGTTTCATGTTTTATCTGTGGTATACAATTAGCTTTTCAGTAAGTAGTAAAGACAGGGAGTGCTAATATATATAGAATTTATTACAAGTGAACCATAAACAATATCTTTTTTTTAATGGATCTATAATACAAATATGGACAATATTTAAAAGTCAAAGTAAACAGAAGGAGAGAACGCCTTTCCACATCAGTCCACCCGATCAGCACAATGAGGACTTCCAGGTCTCTGCAGCTCTCTGGTACCAGCTGGGACATCTGGTCCACAGTGTGACTCTAGGAGGAAAATGTGTAATAAATTCTTAAGGTGATAAAAAATAGAAAAAAAGTAAAAAGTAAATACAGATGATTCTTTAATAAATAGAATATTGTGGTGAAGTTAATTTTCTAACGTAATTTAATTCAAAAAGTGAATCTTTGATATATTCTAGATTCATTACACAAAGTGAAGCATTTCAAACCCTTTTTGCTTTCATCTTGATGATTACGGTTTACAGCTCATGGAAATAAAAACTCCACTATCTCAAAATGTATAAACATTTTAGAATAAAAATACATTTCTGTATTATCAATTATACAGAAATAATTGGAGAAGAGCTCTCTAATCAGCTAATTAACTCTCTCAGTCTGGTTCTGATGCTCACAATGAACTTTTCCTCAGTATTCTAGAGATGCTCCTCTAAAAGATGCCTCACTGTTTTAATGTTGACACCACTATTATGTCACATAAGTGGGAGAAAATGGATCAAGGGAGACTCTTTAAATGTTTTTGTGTTGTCCTTTTAAGACAGACAATTTTATATCAGCTGTCAAATGTCCAGTAGCCAAGACTAGCAACGTTATTTTAGACTCAAAGTTTAAGCTTTGAGTAGCAGATGTGGAGGCATCAGATCCTCAACAACAATCTTGTGACAAATATAAAAAGTACCTTTCTCTCACAAGTGTCCTATTCCAGACAATAATCCCACACAGCCCTGCCGACAGCAGCAACGTTACTCAAAATAGCGGTGTTGGGAATTAATTAACATGATAACAGCCATGGCTAACATTTTACAAGATATACAGCTTCCATCATGTAACTAAGGACTCTACCGCTAGCTTATTACGAGTAACATACTGAGGTGACGTCCAAATAAACGACTCGTAACCGCTGTAACCAACGGTATGTAAAAGGGTTAATTGATTTGCTTGAAACTGTTCGTTTGAGCTGTAACGTAAAGTAAACTAGGTAGTTAATAACTGATTCATAGTTAATGTTAACTGTCAATGTTGGTCTCAACAAAATCTAACTTTAAAATAACGTTAACGTTACCATATTTATATATTAAAAAGCATTTATAACCTTGTGAAGTATAATGTCAATAACAGATATGTGAGTTATTTAAATATTTTCCAGTGTCTTACCTTGACTTTAGCTGGTAATGTCGGTAAACTGCTAACAACCTCCAACCTCCACCGTACAGTACCGCAGAATAGCATTAGCTCCTTAGCATGAGCTAACTCGGTCACGTCGAGCTAGGCGGGACTGGTTTCAGCAACAGGTCACCTCAGCTCCACCTACGACCCGCCTCTTTGCCCATTTTTGGCTCTTCAGAAACCAATGGGTGACGTCATGGACGGTACGTCCATTTTTATATAGTCTATGGTATAAATGCATACTCCTGCGTAGGGTATACGTGCATAGCCTACGGCGTAGGTACACACGTAGAGGCCTTAACCCTTTAACACTTAGGGACTCTAACCCTAAGGGGACTCACTAGTGTAAGACAAATAACAATGAGAAGAAGCATAATCAAGACACATGTAGACTCCGAAAAATGTCACAAACACTGCAGGTGCCACCATGTTTTTAGCCATATGATCCAACAGATATTGGAGAATGGAATATTGTGTCCTCTCTCTGGGAGAATTTCACAGTTCTGAAGTATGACTAATATTTCCAAGTATCAGCAGACAGCAACACGTGCAAACACCCAAACCAAAGCAGAGCTGGATTTGCTGTGCAGATCAGGGGATCCATTAGTGCTTCTGGGCAGTAGCTCTTCCCTAGAGATAGCAATTTATGTGATCTGTGTGTCTGTGGAGAGGATGATGTCACGCCTTACATATGCCTGTTGGGAGCACAAGCCAAAGAGGAGGAATTGTATTGAATTGTGTACGTGTGTGTGCGTGTGTTTCATGTTTTTATCTCCCGGTGGGGACTCCACTTTGGTCCCCAGAGGTAGAGACTGCTTTTTTAAGGTTTAGGGTTTAGCTTACAAATAGGTTAAGAGTAGGGTTAAGGTTATGCATGTAGTTTTGATGGTTAAAGTTTTGTGTAAAGGCTAGTGTTTGCGTAGCATCGGCTTATTTATGAACATTTTAGTTTTTCAGTATTCTGTATTTTTTTCAGAATAAAGTGTACAAGCATAATCGTGGCCCGTGTGTTTTTACATTGAAAAATCTGAGCTTTGTCCGGAATCCAGGCAAATGAAGGTGGCCTTGCTGGGTCAAACATTGGCTATAATTCTTTGTTTCCAGTTTCAGAAAGTGAAGTAGAGATGCTTCCGCTCTTAAACAATGAAATTAAATTCTCAACCTTGCATTGCATTGTTTTTTGTCATTCCTTTATTATTTGGCAGTTGTCTAGTTTTTATTTGACCTTTATTGTTTAGAATCTAGGCATTGGTGAAAGTAAACTCAAAATATTTAATAAAACTTTTAAAAGCATTTAATCAAATGTAGGGATCTGCTTTCCCTGTATTCACAGTCCAGCCTTGACTAACAAGCGTCTCTAACACAGAACATGCACAGTGACATCATCCAATACAAATCATGATCACACCATGATTTTCCAGTCAGACAGGGGGTGAAAATCACAGATGGAGGCAGGGTGGGAGAAAGACAGGAAAAGAGCCGGAATTGAAAACTGATCGAGGGAGGGATATGAGGACACAAAGGGAGAAAGGTTGTGCCCTCACTGTCACAGTTGCTGATACCAGTGATGAGACAGGGACATGCACAGCACCTGTTTTATGTCTGCATGTTGGCTGTTCCTACAGCAGATGTTAGGGTGTCTGACCCTATGTCTCGACTGGTGCCTCAGGGCAAAAATTATTTTTAAGTTGTGCAGTGAGCAGCTTTTCAGAATTACGTGGATTTCCACACAAGTAGGGTGCAGTTAATGCTGAATTTGAAGCTTTGTCCTTGACCGTGAGAGTATATTTTTTTCTGAAACAATGCAGTTCATCTGCCAGGAGGACACGTTTCTGCAACACAACGGAGGTGTGTGATCTCTCTGAAGTTTGGAAGTGCTGAATCTGACTTATAAAGGGAAAACTGGACTGTCTACACCACATGATAAAGGCATTCAGCAATTGCATTAATGTCATCTTAAGTAAGTTGTTGGACCAATTCCAATTAGATTTGTGTTTGTTTAAATAAAACAGACTGATTTACATGAATCAGCTTGGTCTGTTTTTCCACGTCATTAAAATGTGATTTACACTTTTCCGTTTTACTAATTTGAATGGGACTTTAACATTATAGGTGACTGTACACACATCACACTACTCCTATACACACATTAGGAATTCAAACCTACAGCAAGATGCACAAATCTTCTCTCTCCTTATTTTTTCTTCATCCATTTCTTTTGAATGTTATACTTAATGTTATTCTAGCCCTCATAAATCCCGTCACTGCCTTTGTAGCTTGGAGCATTTTCAAAGATTTGCTTTCCTCATCAGTAAGATCAGGAGTCTCAAACAGTGTATTAAAAAAACCGAAAGATAGAAAGTGCTCAGAGTTCTGTTGTATCGGAAATTGATGGCAACAACTTTAAAGATCATGACCATGATCAGTGTCTGTGCATTGAGTCAGTGGCTCCGTATCTTATTATTACAGTGGATGTAAAACTATAGATTTATGGATATTTTACAGTTGTTCAAATACATCTGGCAATTAATTTTGAAACAGAAAATATTTTGCATACTGTATTTATAATTGTTATGGCTAAATCAATTGACTTCATAAACAATAAATATATACAAATGAGATGACCTTAAGATATGTATGTATGGTTTTGTCTAAATGTAATGCTTTAGAGAACTCAGTGCAGAACATTTCTAAACAAATTTGACCATAATCAGTGTTGCTTGGTTTTGGTCTTTCTTCTACCTCTGCAGCATAGGAACCTGAAAACAGCCAAAGTAGAAAACAGCAGTACAGTCGTTGCAGTCAGCAATAGTAGCAGTACATCAAAACAGTAGTATGAGTACCATGGCATCTTATAGGCCTCTGTACGCAGGTGAGGAGCCCCTTTATGGCGCATCACATACTCCACCCAGTAGATGGCCCGATCCATGGGTGCCATTGGCTGATCTCTGTGCAAACGTGACAGTCTTTGCATGTTCTGTCTGTAGCTTTCTTGATGGAGCACTTCATTAATACCTCGCTCAAAACTGTGGCCACTAACGTCACCCAGCTGAATGATCTTTGCTGCTCCTCTCTCCTGCAGACGTAGAAGGTTGTCATACTGGTCAAAGAACAAGGGTATGCCAAGCACAGGGACCCCGTAATAAATGGCCTCCTGGACTCCGTTGGTTCCTCCATGAGCAACAAAGACTTTGGTCTGTGGGTGGCCCAGGAGGTCCTTCTGTGGCATCCAGTCCACTATCAGGGTGTTTTTGCCCAAAGTAGAGGGACGCTCCCCTTTGTGCCTCCATATCACCTGATCAGAAAATGAAAAGAATCATTATGAATTAACTGTATATCTCTACACCAGTTTTACATCATGTATTAACGCTAATGATGATAATACATTTTGTATGTAGAGCACTTTGTAAAGAAAAGAACCTTGAAATCTAGAGAAAAGTAAGAAAGTCCAGAGTAGTGTAATAGTGTAGCGAAGTTCTAAAAAGGTGGGTTTTGATCATTGTGTAGTGCAGTGTAAAGTGTTGTACAGATGGAGTCCTTGATTTACACAGTCCACCATTTATTAGGTAACATTAATCTGTGTCTATCCATTTTCTATACCCACTCATTAGACTCCCTGTGCAGCTTTCAGGAGTCTGTCACAGTGCTAAAAATACATTTTTATTTTAGGTATTACTTGGAGGACTGATTTTTGTATTTTTATCAATTTAGCTGTAAAGTATTGCTTTTTTGATGGATTCATTGCTGCATGAATATCTTTCTCTGGATTAAACATTTACATTTTATGTCATTGCAAAAGTGAATCACTCAGTATGTTTTACCTTCTGAGGCATCTTGGCAAAGACGCTGGCAATTTCATCAGCTACCTCTTTGGGCAAAGCGTTGACCAAAGTGCCCAGAGTCATGATGATGACTCCGTGCTGCCCAGCACTCTGAACAAAGTCCTCCAGGTCTGCTGGCAGAGGTTGGGCTGGTTTGCACTGGAACCCTCCTATGTAGATAACATTCGGCATTGTGGGCCGAGGGAAGTCAAACACAAAATCTGACCTGAACAGCCAAATGTCTGCCTCCTGAAGTAGCGAGATGATGTCACATCCACCCTTGATATATTTATCACAGATGGCATCATAGCTTGGTCCCACCATGAATTTCTGCTGGAACACTACAATGCTGTAGAAAAAAATGTTCTTGATCCTCTGGATGAAATTCATTTTGTCCGTTAAGCCTGACCCTGGCACTGGGATGTAAGAGAGCGGTGAGGGGGCTATCGCAAAGTGGCCTTCTCCGCTGGTGATCCAGCGAACATTGAGCACCATGGGCAGTTTTAGATACTTGGCTAATACAACCCCTGCTGCTATGGCTGGGTCAGTGAGAACAAGATCATATTGGGAATCCATGAAGGTTTTGATCACCTTTTCATCATCAAAGACTTGAAGGGACACTGAATGGGCCCTAGAAATCATTGAAAGGAAATCCTTGGTGAGTTTGAAGAAAGTAAGTGCTGAAGCCCCCTCTCTCTGCGCCTGAAAAATGGTTAGAAAAAGAGTTGTGAGAAAGTGATTCTCTTCTTCTTCATCTGAATGACTACATTAATCACATGGGGCCCAATACATTCTTTTATGATTAATAATTCTGTTTTTAACTTTATCCTGTCTGCTTTTAGAGGACTTCATATTGCTGAAACAGCACTTGGTAAGGTAACTAAAGATCTACTGACCTACTGCTGACTGCAAACAGTGTCTGCTAGATGTCAGTTATTACAGACTTAAGTGCTACCTTTGATATTTTATCAACTGCAGGTCTACAGAAAGTGGCACATGCTTTTATCTATTCTCAGATTGATTATTGCAATGCACCTTGCACTAGGTATCAGCCGGGTCTCCCTCCACTGTCTCCAGTTGGTTCAAAACACTGCTGCTCAACTCATTACCAGAACAAAGAAGCATGATCACATCATCCCTGTACCTCCCTACGCTGACTCCCTGTTAGATTTCAAATTGATTTTGAAATGCTCTTGCTCACTATTATGCTCTTGCCTTTAATGTCATTGCTCCTAAATACATTTCTGATTAATTTACCCGGTATGCGACCTCTCTACAACTGAGATCCACAGATGGGGGCTTACTAGTTAATCCCATGTCACCGTTTTGCCCCCAAACGATGGAAGTCTTTGCCTACTGAATACAGAGACAGTAGGCTAGTCCCTAGACAGTCCCTAGTTTCTCTTAAATCTGTGGTCTAATGTATGTTTGATTTATTTATACTATTTCTATTTATTTAATCATATTTATCTTAAAGCACTTTGAAACACTGTCAATACACTCTATAGAAATAAAAATTATTATTTTATTATTATTACCCTCATATGCTCCTCTAGGTACACCTCAAAGAAATCCTCTAATCCTTCATTCATTTTGATGGTAATGGATGTGTAGAGAGGAGACTTTTCTGGGATGTACCAGCTGGTGGATGCCCTGATCACAGTGATGTTGTGTCCCCTGGCATGAAGTTCTTCTAGCAGGATCTTCATATTGACCCAGTGGCTGCCATCTACAGGATACACCAGAATATTTCCTCCACCGCAAGACGGTGTGAAAGAAATCAGACAAACACTGAGGAATACAAGTATTCCACACACACGATGCAATGGCATGGTTCCTAAAATGTGAAAGAGAGAAATTATATAATGATTGACTGTAGGAAGGAAAACTTAGCCCAAACTGTGTCAGAAAGCAGTTTCCAATATAACGTAGTAACTATCTACACAGTCAAAGTTAAGATAATGATTGAGTATCATAGTTTTCCTCGATTCATTAAGTCAGTTCTTCAGTTTTGAAACAATGAATCCAGAGGGATGTGAAGGAAAAGGTAGAGGACACCAGAGAGGAGCAGGAGGAAGAGGAGGTGAAGGTGGAGGTTTACAATCTCTGGCCTTTCCCAGACCAAAGACAGGATGCTATGCCAGAATAATTTGTGGTTTGGTGTGTTGAGCTGTACAGTACACCAGGGAATAAAATCTGTGAAAATGTATACATTTGGTGTTTCTCTGTTGTGTTCATCATGTGAAAATATTTTTTGAGGGGAGAACCCCAAGCAACATTTCTTATAAACAATGTTTATACTATTGTTTTGAATTTATTTCACCAGTGTGTAAGACTGCGTTGTAGTGTGTGTTTGAGTGCTTGTGTGTTATATCTGAGGGCAAAGTTTGGTTTTTAAGTGGAGAGCTTCATCTTGACCTGAAAATAGGATGTTTGGGGATTTGTGTTTAGACTTTTGAGAAAAGAGCCTTAATTTCAAGAAATGTTTTTGAGCAGTTGAGAAAAACTGTAAGTTGCCTTTACATTGGGTTGTTATTCATCATATTTTGCATGTTATAAGTAATCAGAATATTTTCTTTGATTAGACAACTTATACAGTATTTACATGCTACTTTCATCCTCACTTCTCTCTCTCTGAGAGGCACAGACCAGTTTACCAGCAGTGACAGAGAAAAACTAGGCACACCAGAGGTGATGTTAACACAATTTTAGAGGTGTTAAGAGGAATTTGTGTGTTGACGGGGTGGTCACAGTGACTAAAGAGGGATGATTCATTTTTCAGGCTAAGCAATGACTGATGCAGTCCATGCCGAGGATGAGTAAAATATAAGAATAGGAGATGATAGGATCAAGGAAAAATAGGAGTGAGGCAAATTTAAAAAATGCTGTGAAAGTACTACAGAGTTTTACAAGCACATACATGAAACTAGTAACAACAGAAATAGTAAATTCCGAGAACAAGATTGTCAAGGTTGATGATCTAAAATACCATTTGTGGGGAAAGGATATATAAGATGGGTTGTAGCCAGTGCAGTTCAGTTCTGAAGAATAAAGACCATCTGCAGAACCAAAACTCTGACTGATTGATCTTGCAGCACTATTCCATCAAATCCTTCATTTATTATTTATACCCCACAAGACCTCTTCAGCTTAAGATATGATCTAAAAGTAATGTGCTTAACAATGGATTTTTAGGTACAAGTTTCTGCTGGTAAAAAGAAAACCAATGAATCTACAGGTTATTTTATATTTTAACCTGTACCTTGATAAGAAAATAGGCCTATAGTATGATGCCAGCCATAATGTGCGTGAAATTCACTTACCCATGCTCAAGAGGGGCAACAGTAGTCCTATTTGCAGGCAGACTGAATGTCCATCTAAAGGATTCCTTACGCATCTGAGTTCAAACTCCAGTCTCAAAGGTAAATGAGTTACATGTGGCTCATGTCACATGAAGATACTGCACTGCCATGCATGTTCTACAAATCACAGATAAAGTGATTTCTTTGATACATCATCATAGTTTTGTTACTTCAATTAGTAATTTTGTTGTTAAACTACTGGTAGTATTCTGTGGAGTGGAGTTTTGTAAATGAAATGATAGAGAACAATGCTTGGGTCCAAACCACTGACCTTTTTCATAAGCTCATTAAAGTGGGTTGTGTAACCGTTAACACACGTGTCCCATAAATGTCATATTCAAGGCACAAATAAATACCTGAAGAAAATATGCAGATGGGATTCCTGGGAATAACCTATTATGCTTTAAGAATGTCACAGTTATTTTCTCCAGGTATTTGACCAGGAGTTTTCTTTACTACAATCAATCAGTTACAGGTTTCAGAGCTGAAATCACTTGATATAAGGCATAAACTTACTCATAAAATTAGAGGTTGATGAAGTATTTAGACACTTTTAAGTACAAACACCACACTGTAGAAATACTCAATTACAAGTAAAATCCCTATTGAAAATACTGAATTTAAGGTACATGTACCTCAACTTGAGTAAATTTAGTCACTTTCCACCGCTACTTACGACGAGTTTAACCAAGAGAATAATTTTTCTTTTGGCTTTGACATTTATTGCATGAAGCTCTGCACTGGCTCAGAAGAAACAGCTCCTTATATTTCAATAATGCACCTCCTACACTCTAAAAACTAATTCAGGGGACCTTTAGTCATTACTTAAATATATATGTTGTTGTGAAATAAAAAAATCAAGTTCTGAGATACTGTTAGACTTTTTACTTGTATTTGTTATTTTATTGAGCTTGGATGACACACAAATTATGCCTATTGATTCAATATACTATCATGACTTGTCAGAGTTTAACATTTTCAGTTAATCAAAAAATAATTTAACAATTTAATAATTTTTTAATAATTTTAGTTCTGTTAACATAAAATACAATTTGTTGACGTTTAAAAGGCCCACAGTTTCCCTCTCTTGCATGTGCGGGCATATTCAAGGCAGACAAGTGACCACAGGGCCACAGCTGAAACTCATTGAAGCGTAATGTGTTGAATGGTAAGTCATTTTATGCTTAATTACACATATTTGCATTCGCTCAGGATTCTGTTAGTGATAGCCTACTGTAACCGAATACCGAAATCTGGAAGTCCTTACTCTGAAATTTGAGCAGTGTTGATAGTACAGTCTGTGTGCCGAGGTAAAGTTAGCTAGTAGCTGTAGCCTGTCACTGATTGAGTAGGCATAAATGCGGGAGTAATAGGTGGCCAGGCAGCCAGGGAAAACATTTTGGCAAGCTAACTTACAGTTTTTTTCAGTCGCTAACAAGCGTTTGTCCAATCAGTTGTCACATTTTCAAAACTCTAAACACAGTTAGCACAGCATCGGTCTTTTGTGGCCATACCATTCACACATTTCATGTCGTTTTCACACAATACGCAGTCAGTGAACACATTTCAACAATGCTTAAATTTTCTTAACAGACAAGCTATACCTCCCAACAAAATTATGGATTACTTTTGTAGTATTTACGAATGTTAACAAACATTTAAATAATTGACACACAGCTGATTTATGTTGGGTAAATTGGGCCAACCACAGCTGATTCCAGTCTGGCTTAGTGGCAGGGTTTTTTTCTTCTATTACATTGACACATATATAAAAGGAGGTTTGAGGAGTGATGTGTTTGGAAACAGAAACAGAAAAAGACAAACACTGTAATGTCTGGACGAGGAAGAGTAAGAGCAAGGGGCCCAGGGAGAAGAGCAGGCCCAGTGAGAGGTGCAGGAGCAAGGAGATGTAAGAATGCGTGGTGGTGGCATTCCAAGGGCTCCAAGAACAGTAGTCAGTGATGAAATTCGTGCCACTATCATTGACCATGTAATCAACCACGGTCTTTCACTAAGAGAGGCTGGTGAAGAGTGCAGCCCAATTTGAGGTGGTCAACGGTTGCTTCCATTATACGCATCTTTCAACAAACCAACAGGTAAGTATTGCATTTTACATGGATTGTTTCTATTCTCACTTGACATGTCAATAAGGTCATACAGTAATGCATATGTTTAATTTTTTTGTCCCTCTAAAGAATGCAACGTCTTCCACCCTCTGGGGGAAGAGGAAAGCTCCTCAATAATGATCAAGAGCTTGCCATTGTAGAAATAGTTGTTGCAAACAATGCAATAAAACTGCGTGAAATTCAGACTAGAATTGTGGAGGACCATGAGATGTTTGATAACATCAATAGCATCAGCCTCACAACCATTACGCGGACATTGTCCAAACACAGAGTGCGGATGAAGCAGCTCTACACTGTTCCCTTTGAGAGGAACAGTGAGAGAGTCAAGGAGCTACGACAACAATATGTCCAGGTATAGTGTATATTCAATTCAATGTCCAGTTCTATAAGCTTTGCACTTTGCAAGTAGGTAAGCTACACAGTAATAGGTTACAGTACAGTATGGATTACAGTAATGACATGATTTACATAAACTTTGTTTCAGAGAGTTTTGGAATTGGAGGCCAACCAGGCCCCTCATGAATTCATTTACATAGATGAGGCAGGATTCAATCTGGCCAAAAGGCGTCGACGTGGACGAAATGTAATTGGAAAAAGGGCCACAGTTGATGTGCCAGGACAGAGAGGGACAAACATTACCATGTGTGCAGCAATTGCAAATGCAGGATTACTCCTTCACAGATGTTAGGTTGCAACAACATGGTTTGAAGTTCACCCAAGACTGGTAAGTCTCTTCCTTCCACCCTATTCACCTTTCCTCAACCCCATAGAGGAGTTCTTTTCAGCATGGAGGTGGAAGGTTTATGACCATCAGCCACATGACCAGATGTCCCTCCTTGAAGCCATGGATGCTGGCTGCAGGGACATCACAGTTCAGGATTGTCAAGGGTGGATCCGACATACCAAGCGGTTTTATCCCAGGTGCATTGCCTTGGATAATATCAGATGTGATGTTGACGAAAACATGTGGCCTAACCCTGAAGATCAGCAATGTTGTGCTTTTTTTTTTTTAGTTCCCCCAATTTTTATCTGGACTTTTTGCTGTTGTTTTTTTGTTCAGAATGTGTGTTTCACGGATATTTTGTTCACTGTAAGAAATACTGTAAACTTTTTCTGTTCTATCATACCGTGTTTCTACTGTACCTCCTGTAGTAAACAGTAAAGGAAAAAAAAACGGATTTGATTTTTACTGGAATGCTTTTTAATGTGAACATTACTGTGGACATACAGTTACCAACCAAGAAATTTAGTGTAAAAACGGTGGATTGCATGTTTTGCATGCAAATACCTGTAAAACTGAAACATAAAAGTCTATGTAGTTTTTGTAATGTCAACAATAGCCAGTATTTTGAAACCTGGTGTACTTTGATTGACTGCATGTACTTCGTGAAGTGAAAACAAGTGTCATTCTTTGACAGAATAATTTCATTTTGAGTCAGATTTCCAGTGTTTTGGTAAAGATAGTGTGTGCAGAGAAAAATGTGTTATTTTTTTGAAATGAAGAGTTAGTATATATTTAACAAAATGTGTTTTATCCATTTGGCCAATTGTGTTTTGTAGGTGTGAGTCTGTGTTAAGAGTTTAGAAAAAGTATCTGAAGTATGGGTAAGCGCTTGTTAACGACTGAGAAAAACTGTAATATGGTATTACCCATTAGCCACCGCTCCAGTTAGCATGTAGGCTAGCTGCGTTTATAAACTACAAGTAGCTACGTTAGCCAGTTTGCTGGCTAACATTAGCTAGACATTATTAGACTATGATTCAGATAAGAAATACTAAAGATAACTCACTAACACACAACTTAACTCTTGCAGAGATCAACTTAATTATTCCGTTCATGTTACTTAGAAACATAATAATTAAGTTTCTAAGTAACAGAATGTGTTTTATTGTGGCCAAAAAGCTTCTTCACCTAACTTAAAACATTATGTTGGATCAACTTAAATACTTGCATTCATGTTGACTATTATTAAGTTCATGTTACTTAGAAATGCATTTTATTGTGGCCTAAAAGGTAATTCACCACACTCAAAACATTGCTTTGAATTCAGCCAGCAGTCTTAACATAAATTCTAGTGGAAAACATTCTACAACAATTTTTTTTTTTTTTTTGACCCAATGTTTTATTTTTTAGAGTGTAGCAATGCCATCAGAGCTGCTTACTGGACAGATTGTTTGTTGAAAAATAGAACAGGGCCTCACGCCTGTATATGATTGTTTGGTCTGCTATAACGCTTCTGCACAGCGGTTATGTGGCTGAACGAATCAACTGTGGCTCCTGCTGTTGTGCTTCTCATGTACTGTTTTCAGTCATGTAGACAAATATCTCTATCTGCTTATTAAATATACCTCTCTGAAAAAAATACTGCGCATAAGGATGGATGAGTATATTCACTAACTGATACATCATATGAGCAACAGTATGTCCAGCTTACTTCTCACTGTGGATGAGATTTCATTTATTGATTATTGCGGCAAATGGTTGTTACTTACCTGACTGTCCATGGCTTTCTCTTATGAGGTGTTTGTGTTTATCTCTTGACGTTTAGGGGTAATGCAATTAAGCTAGTGAACTTTTGAAATTTCACTCATTGGGGAAATCAAGCTGCTGGTCCTGAGTACCAAAACATTATCCATTGATTTTTCTAGTGTCTAACAAGGGTCCTGTTGGCTGCTTTTTCCTGGTGTCTTATTGCTGTGAACTTGATATACGGGTGCATACCTTTATAGGCAAAGGAAAACGATCTCTCAGAGCAGCACACAGTTATCACAAAATTACAAAGTAATTTCTGATTGTTGACAATCTGACACTAATGGCTTAACTGATCACCAACCAATCACTGTTTTCTTCTCCTCCTCCTCTTCTTCTTCCAACTCTTTCTCCTTGAACTTGTCCTCGTTGTCATCCCTTGCCTCTCCCTCCTACTCCCCTTGATCTCTGTCTATTGTTGGCATCCATTGTTCAAAACAGGTAATGTGACCTACTGTATAC